ATGAGGGTTTGAATTTTTATTCATTCTCACCGATGCTGTTTTTGCTAACAGCCATCCTAATGGGTGTGAAGTGGTACCTTAGGGTTGTTTTAATTTGTATTCCCTAATGATCGGTGACGTAGCATCTTTTCGTTGCTTATGGTCGGTTTCTAAGTGGTCTTTGGAAAAGTGTCTGTTCAATCCTTTGCTTTTTTTTTTGGTCATGGAGTCTTGCTCTGTCACCAAGGCTGGGGTGCAGTGGTGCAGTCATGGCTCACTACAGCCTCTGCCTCCCAGGCTCAAGAGATTCTCCTTGCCGGGCGCACTGGCTCAAGCCTGTAATCCCAGCACTTTGGGAGGCTGAGGTGGGTGGATCACGAGGTCAAGAGATCGAGACCATCCTGGTCAACATGGTGAAACCCCATCTCTACTAAAAATACAAAAAAAAAATTAGCTGGGCATGGTGGCATGTGCCTGTAATCCCAGTTACTCAGGAGGCTGAGGCAGGAGAATTGCCTGAACCCAGGAGGCAGAGGTTGCGGTGAGCCGAGATTGTGCCATTGCACTCCAGCCTGGGTAATGAGCGAAACTCCGTCTCAAAAAAAGAAAAAAAAAAAAAAAAAAGAGATTCTCCTGCCTCAGCCTCCCAAGGAACTGGGACTGCAGACATGCACCACCATGCCTGGCTAATTTTTATTTAGTAGAGATGGGTTTCACCACGTTGGCCAGGCTGATCTCGAACTCCTGAGCTCATGTGACCTACCCGTCTCGGCCTCCCAGAGCACTGGGATGCGGCGTGAACCACCATACCTGGCCAGTGAGGTCTTTTGATACACGGATGCTTTTTTAATTTTTTTTTATATTTATTTATTTATTTATTTTAGACAGAGTTTCGCTCTTGTTACCCAGGCTGGAGTGCAATGGTGCGATCTCGGCTCACTGCAACCTCCGCCTCCTGGGTTCAGGCAATTCTCCTGCCTCAGCCTCCTGAGTAGCTGGGATTACAGGCACGCGCCACCATGGATGCTTTTTATTTTGAAGTCTATGTTTTTCTTTTGTTGCCTGGGCTTTTGCTGTGAGCTGCGAGCAATCACTGCCAAGTCCAGCGTTAAGGAGAGGGAAGAGTTTTATAGTTTTAGCTCATGTTTAGGTCTTAGATCCATTTGGAGCTTCTTCTACGTGGCGTAAAGGGAGGGTCCACCTGCAGTCTCCGCCTGAGCATACAGTTACCCCAGCACTCTGCTGAAAAGCTTGTCCTTTGCATATCAAAGGGTCTGAGCACCCTTGTTACACCATTTCACCGTCTGTCCAGGTTTTTTTCCCAGGCCATCTGCCGTTTTCCACCAAGTTTCTGTGCCAGCCTTTACACCAGGACCACACTGTTTTGATCATGACAGCTTTGAAGTAATTTTTGAACTCAGTATGTATCAGTCCTTCGACTTTGTTCTTTTTCCAGGTTGTTCCATTGTTTGGGGTCCTCTGAGGCTCCGTGTGAATTTTAGGATGTTTTTTTCTATTTCTGCAAAAACTGTCACAGGGATTTTGACAGGAATCGCATTGAACTTGCAGATCACTTTGGGTGATACGGTCAGCATAAAACATTAGCTCTTTCCGGAGTGAGGCTCCGTCTGATAACCCATGTTTACGGATTGAAAGATTTAATATATGTGAGACAGAGTCTCGCTTATCACCCAGGCTGGAGTGCAGTGGTGAGACATCCGCTCACTGCAACCTCTGCCTCCCGGGTTCAAGTGATGGTCCAGCCTCAGCCTCCCAAGTAGCTGGAACTAGGTGCGCACCACCACGCCCAGCTGATTTCTGAATTTTTAGTCGAGACAGGGTTTCGCCATGTTAGCCAGGATGGTCTGGATCTCCTGACCTCATGATCTGCCTGCCTGGGCCTCCCAAAATGCTGGGATGACAGGCGTGAGCCACCGTGCCCAGACCATGTTTCCAGCCTGTTTATAGCTGTGAACTTCCATTTCATCACGGGCTTTGCCTATCATGTAAGTTTCCTGTAAATACGGTGGCTTTTCATTTTTATGTCTCAAGGTACTTTCTAATTCACACTGTGATTTCCTCTTTGACCACTGTTTAAGACTGACTGAGCAAGGTGCAGTGGCTCACGCCTGTAATCCCAGAACTTTGGGAGGCCGAGGTGGGAGGATCACCTGAGGTCAGGAGTTCGAGACTTGGCCAACACAGTGAAAACTCATCTCTATTAATAATAGAAAAATTAGCCAGCTACCGCAGTGCCAGCTACTCAGAAGGCAGAGACAGGAGAATCACTTGAACCCAGGAGGTGGAGGTTGCAGTGAGCCAAGATCACGCCATTGCACTCCAGCCTGGGCGACAGAACAAGACTCTGACTTATTTAATTTCCACGTGTGAATTTTCCATTTGCTCTTCTATTAATTTCCAGTTTCACTCCTTTGTGATAAAAAGATAATTTTTCAAGACCAGTTTTGAGGCTGAGTGCAGTGCCATGCCTGTAATCCCAGCACTTTGGGGGGCCGAGGTGGGCGGATCTCCTCAGGCCGGGAGTTCAAAACCAGCCTGGCCAACTTGGTGAAACCCGTTTCTACAAAAATTAGTTGGGTGGGATGGTGGGTGCCTGCAATCCCAGCTACTCAGGAAGCTGAGGCTGCAGTGAGCCGAGATTGAGCCACTGCACTCCAGCCTGGGCAAAAATAAGACTCGGTCTCCAGAGGGGGAAAAAAAAAAAAAAAAAGACCAAATTTGTGATGTAACACGTGGTCTCTCCTTGAAAAAAAAATTCCATGTGATGTGCACCTAAAAAGTGTGTCTTCGCTATTGTGTGGAGTGTTCTGTGAGGCTTGTTGGGTTATAGGGCTGTGGGAGGCCTGTTTCCTCATGGATCTTCCCTTTGCTGGTTCTATCACGTTAGAAATCAGGTATCAGGCTGGGCGCAGTGGCTCACGCCTGTAATTCCAGCGCTTTGGGAGGCTGAGGCAGGTGGATCACATGAGGCCAGGAATTCAAGATCAGCCTGACCAACATGGTGAAAACTCTTCTCTACAAAAATAAGGTGGGCATGATGGCGGGTGCTTGTAAGCCTGGCTACTGGAGAGGCTGAGGCAGGAGAATCACTTGAACCTGGGAGGTGGAGGTTACGGTGAGCTGAGATTGCACCACTGCACTCCAGCCTGGGCGACAGAGCCAGACTCTGTCTCAGAAACACAAAAAAAGAAGTGGGGTATCACTGTCTCCTGTCCGTGTTGCCGCCACGCGGTTGGTGGCACGTGCATGAGTAATTGTGTATCTTGGCACACTGACCCTTGTGTCATTATGGAACATCTTTGTCTCTCGTAATCGTTTCAGCTACTCCAGCTCTTTGGCTGTTTATGTGGATATTTTTCCATACCTTCACTTGCAACCTGTTTATGTCTTTAAAGTTGGTCTTTCAGGCCGGACACAGTGGCTCATGCCAGTAACCCCAGCACCTGGGAGCTGGGAGGCCAAGGCGGGTAGATCACTTGAGGTCAAGAGTTAGCCACCAGCCTGGCCAACACAGTGAAACTCTGTCTCTTCTAAAAATATAAAAGTTAGCTGGGCATGGTGGCTGACACCTGAAATCCCAGCTACTTGGGAGGCTGAGGCAGGAGAATCACTTGAACCCAGGAGGTGGAGGTCACAGTCAGCCAAGATGGTGCCATTACACTCCAGCCTGGGGTGAGAGTTAGACTGTCTCAAAATATCATCATCATCATCTAATGCCTGATGATCTGAGCTGGAGGTTTCCTCCCTAAACCTCGCACCCCGCAGTCCTGGGTGGTGGCAAACTGCCTTCCATGAAACCAGTTCCTGGTGCCAAAAAGGTGGGGGACTGCTGCGTTCAGACCTGCAGGTTTACAGACCACAGCTAGGAGGAGAATGGCCTTTAACTGACCCACGCACTTCGCTGTTCCAGGGCCTTCTGTCTCCTCCAGATGGGCTGCTGTCTGCTCACTTTCCTGGGTGGCACACAGGACTGCCGCTGACTAGCTCCTGAAGCTTTTATTTATCTGGGCGTGTCCGCTCTTTTTTGGAGACAGGGCCTTGCTCTGTTGCCCAGGCTGGAGTGCAGCGGTGCAATCATAGTTCACTGCAGCCTCCGCACCTCCTCGGCTCAAGGGAAGCCTCCCACCTCAGCCTCCCAAGTAGCTGGGTTTACAGGTGCTCACCTCTACACCCAGCTAATTGTGTGTGTGTGTTTGTGTAGACACGGGGTCTCGAAATATGTTGCCCAGGCTGCTCTCATACTCCTGGCCTCAAGCGATCCCTCCACCTTGGCCTCCCAAAGTGCTGGGATTACAAATGTGAGCCACGGCACCAAGCATTCACTCTTTTTTGAAGGGCTACTTTCCTGAATATAGAATTCTGTTTGCCAGTTTCTTCCATTGAATGGGACCCCCTTTTACTGTGTATTTGAATGTCTTGTGTTTTTTGTTGGTAACTGGTCCTTTGAAAACAGTCCTCTCGGTCAGTCTTTGCTCACGGGTTCTGTGCTTGAGCCTGGGGATCAGTGTGTGAGGTCAAAGCGGAAGGTCTTCAGTCTTGTCTCGGCCTGCCGTTGCGATTCCCAGGTTCCTATGTGCGCAGCTGCCGCAGAATGCCTTCATTTCTGGGAGTCCTGCCTCAGGCATCTGTGGGTCTGCCGTCCCTGCCGCCCTCTCCTGGGTGACTGGCCCTCCTGACATCTGAGTGGGGCAGAGCAAGGCCGGTCCTCTGGGCAGCCCCGGCCAGGCCAGGGTGCTGTGCCAAGGCCCTCTCGGTGCCATGCGTGGGTCTACTGCCTGGAAGGTTGCTCTGTACTGATGGGGTGACCCCTCCCATGAGGTGAGCTCAGTTGGCTGGAGGTTCTCTTCTTCACGGAGAAAGAATCTGAGAGCTTCCTGGTCTGGCGTTTGCTGCCATTGCGTGAGCTCCGGTTCGAGTCTCGGTTTTCGTGCCCCGCAGCTCTTTCCCTCCGGTGGCCCCAGCTCTGCTCCGGCCACTCTCACAGCTCGCGTCTCTTCCAGGGCCCGAGCATCTCTCCCAACTGTCCGGCAAGTGCTTCAGCCTGGTGGAGTCCACGTGAGTGCAGCGTGGGTGCAAGGGTGGGCTGGGCTGGGCACGGCCTGGGGACCTCCCTTAGGCCACCTGTGCCCCCAGGTACAAGTACGAGTTCTGTCCATTCCACAACGTGACCCAGCACGAGCAGACCTTCCGCTGGAACGCCTACAGCGGGATCCTTGGGTGAGCACGGCTGGGCCAGGGGTCCGCAGCAGTCTAGCTCCCCGCCCGGCCTCACGCACTGCGCCATGTCCCCCCAGCATCTGGCACGAGTGGGAGATCGCCAACAACACCTTCACGGGCATGTGGATGAGGGACGGCGACGCCTGCCGCTCCCGGAGCCGGCAGAGCAAGGTGAGGCCTCAGGATACTGGAAGAGGGGCCCTGGCCTCCCCAGCCCACCCACCCAACTTCCCTCCCCAGGTGGAGCTGAAGTGTGGAAAAACCAACCGGCTGGCCCACGTGTCCGAGCCTAGCACCTGCGTGTATGCGCTGACGTTCGAGACCCCCCTTGTCTGCCACCCCCACTCCTTGCTAGGTAGGGGTGCGGGCACAGCTGAGCCCAGTTGGGTCACCCTCTTACCCGGCCCTGCTGCAGTGGAACCAGGTTGGGGTGGCCAGGGTTGGGACACAAGGTGCAGCTCAGCCTGGCTTCTCTTGGGTCCTCAGTGTACCCGGCTCTGCCAGAGGCCCTGCAGCGGCGGTGGGACCAGGTGGAACAGGACCTGGCGGACGAGCTGATCACCCTCCAGGTGAGGGGGCACTCAGGACAGCCCCAGGTGGGCCTGGATGAGAGCTGGGTGCTGCCCCTGTGTCCTCCACCTTCAGGGCCATGAGAAGTTGCTGCAGACACTTTTTGAGGATGCCGGCTACTTAAGGAGCCCAGAAGAAAATGAAGCCCCCAAGCTGGAGGGAGGTCCTGATGGCTTGGGGTTTGAGACCCTGGAAAACTGCAGGAAGGTACAGTCTTGGGGACAGGGGGCAGCATGCAACAGCCTCCCCCACGTGGCCTGGCCTTGCCCTTCCCCTCGTTTTGCTGTAGGCTCACAAAGAACTGTTGAAGGAGATGAAGAGGCTGAAAGGTCTGCTCACCCAGCATGGCATCCCCCACGCAGAGCCCACGGGTGAGTCCTGCCTGTGGGGAGGGGCCAGGCCCACCCCAGCACTCGCCGCCTTTGAGTCCAGATCAGGACCTGCCAGCTGCTGTTTTGACAGAAACCTCCAACTTGGAACACTTCCGCCATCAGATGCCCAGACCGGGGCCTCCAGAGCAGCTGCGGGGCGACCCTGGCCTGCGTGGGAGCTTATGAGAAACCGGCCTGTGGGAACTCCCAGGGACCAGGCGGCCAGGCTTGTGCTCAGAGAAGCAGACAAACAAAACAAAGGTTCAAGGTTTTAATTAATTCCCATACTGATAAAAATAATTCCATGAATTCTGTAAACCATTGCATAAATGCTATAGTGTAAAAAACTTAAGTGTTACCTTTAAACAATCACTACAAGTAAATGATTATGCATTATAAATACTACCTTCTGGGTTAAGAAAATTCCATTCAATTAACATTCTCATCTAAATAGATCAAGGCTTCCATAAATTAAACCACGTGACGCGTCCACATGGAACGAGGTCTGCTGACCACAGTTACACACACGTCGTGACGCCATTGTATCACGACTACTATTGAACACTAGAGTTACAGGCAACAAGACCATGGCGGGACCAGCCACCACCCGGCTCCCACACGCAGGGCCCGCCTGGCCACAGGTGGGAGCCACCAGGCCTGCCTCCAGCTCAGCACCATCCACCACTGCTGTGCACCTCGACCACTCACGATCCGTACCTGAGGCCTCAACCCTCAAGAGCAGGGTCGGGTGACAAAGGGCCCAGGACCCTGCCTCCATTTCCAACCCCGGCGGTGCCTGTGTGCCCCGGCCACTCTTTGGTCTTCCCACCCCACACCTGTCTTCGGAGCCAGTACTCATCTGGGGAGGAGGTACCCCCCCGTCTCCCAGCCGTCCCCCAGCACTACCACCTGGAAGCTGAGCCCTGGAGGTGCCTGAGGGGCAACCGCCACCTCGTTCCCAGAAAGAGCAGAGCGGCGCGGACAAGGGCTCAGCTGCCCCTGACGGCTGACAACCAGGGGACCCCTGGGCAGGCACCACATATCCCACAAAAGACCAGAGGCCCGAAGTGGGATCCAAGTGCATAAATAGTAATGAAAACAAAGGATTTTAAACACTGATGACAGGAGCACAGAATCGACGCAACTTCTAGATACTGACCTAATAAGTCATCACTATCATTAAAAACAGAACAGTCACTAAAACCAAGTCAACAGTTACCTGTAGTAGCGGACTAGCTGCAGAACGTCACGGATCCACTTCCTTTAAAATGACAGAACGTGGCTATCAGTTTGTCTTACGTTAAAAAGTTCTTAAACCTCCTACTGTATTAAATACATTCTAATTTGGTCACTGATAAAATTTTTACTGAGCATTTTGCACTTTTAAAAAATGCGATTGAAAGTCTTTGGCAAAGCCACGGGCCGGGAGAAATGCCGTGGTGCCTCCCGCCCCCTCACAGCCCGTGGGGCCTCGCGAAGAGCCAGGTGCCGTCACCTGGACACCTACACCCGCTCAACTCCCAGGGACAGTCCCAGGCCTGAGCAAAGAAGGTCAGCTCATCCCGGGGACGTGTTCTTAGTCGCGTTTCTGCTACGGCCAGAAGCCACGCTGTCACTCCAGGGCAGACGGGCACAGGACTGCAGCAGAGCCGGGACTGTGCAGGCCGCAGGCCGCTTCCCACACATGCTCCAGGCTGCCGAGGGGCTGGGTCCTCTGTATGACCTCACTGGCCACACGGATGAGCTTCGGTAATACCTGGCAGTACAGGGCAGGTGACTGTCACACACACCCAGCGCCCTGGACTCTGGCACACCACGGCTCGAGCGTCTCCTACGCGAGCAGGACCGGGGGAGGTCACAGGTGCCAGGAAGGCAATTCTCCAAGGAGTTACAAAGCACCATTGCCTATGACACAGCCAAGTCATCAGAAGACAACTGCTTTTTTCTGGGACGGAGTCCCGCTCTGTACCAGGCTGAAGTGCAGTGGCAAGATACCAGTTCACTGCAATCTCCACCTCCTGGGTTCAAGCCATTCTCCTGCCTCAGCCTCCCCAGTAGCTGAGGCTACAGGTGCCTGCCACCCCAGCCAGCTACGCTTTGTATTTTCAGTAGAGACGGAGTTTCACCTTGTTGGCCAGGCTGGTCTTGAACTCCTGATGTTAGGTGAGCCTCCTGGCTCGCCTCCCAAAGTGCTAGGATTACAGGCGTGAGCCACCATGCCCAACCAGAAAACAGCTTCTTAAAATAAGTAATTATAAAATCTCTGATGTCTGGTCCCTCTGCTGCATTTTTCGTTAGTATCAAACTGTCTTTCAGAGGTTCAAGGGAGGAAATAGAACCAGTGATGTTCCTTCACTTGTTTTCAAGGCACAGGCACTTAGAAAACGTGGCCACGGATCACAGAAATGCCGGCCTGGGCTCTCCTGTCCCCACACCACGAGGGTGGAATACAGACTCCAGTTCCATGCACACACGCATGGGCTTAGGAAAACTAGCTCCTTCCATAAAGTTAATCTCTCTCAGTAATCACTCTGCTTATAAATACTATTTGCACTTAATTGGAAAATGTAAAAATCCTAGGTCTTGCTACTAGAGAAACGCTCATTTCATAAGTACTAGTTTCAGAATATGAAATCTAGAATATTTAGCATACTATGAATTAACAACGAATAGGAAATGTTTAAGTTCACAGTACACATATAAAGCTTCATATTATCGCATATTAAAAAACATGAATGTAGAAAGCAGCTTAGAGCAATTTAGAACCTCTACCTAAATTCCTCAGTCTACAAAGTGCTTCGACACCCCAGCTCCCAATGACCCAGTCACAGCAGCGTCAGGACCACAGAGCACCCACGCAGACCCCTGAGGCACCAGGCCCCGTGAGGACAGGCAAGTGGGTTCTGTGGGTTTGCTTTTAAGGTTTTTGAGGAAAATACCTTGGAACCGTCGCTGGACCTAGAGAGGTGATCATGTATGGGAGGGCCACCAGGCCGAGCGTGGGCGGGAGCTCCCAGCCTTGGTCCTCGCTTCGGGGGCACCAGCAGTGACAACGTGGCTGTGGTCACAAGGAGCACTGGAGCCAGGGTGCCCACCAGGAGGCAGCTGTCCCTGCTGAGGTCACCACCGCAGGGGCTGGCCCTCGCAGTAGGGGCACTCAGGTGCGCTGGCCGCACAGGGCTCACACAGGACACGGTGCTGGCAGGACCGCAGGATGGCACCGTGGGCTCGTTCCCGGCAGGCCACACACTGCTTGGTGCGCAGCTGGAAGATCACCTGCAGGGCCAGAACAAGAGTGGGGTCAGGAGGCCCCTGCCCAGACCGGGCCAGCTGGGGAGCCCGAGGGCCTTCTGAGCAGGACCCAACATCTCAGGCCATCCAGCCACCAGCCACAGAGACAGGGTCAGGGAGATGCCCCGGCCAATGCCACCTCAGAGAGAAGGGCAGCTGTGAGATGAGATATTCTCTCTCGAGAGCTGTGGGCAGAGGATGGCCTCCTGGGGCCACCAGACATGGCAGTGACCGGACAGGACAGGACAGGCCCGAGGGCCCTGGCAGCTGGGCACCCAGGATGTGGGCTAATCAGGACCCTCTAGCCCAGAGCAGCCAGGCCAAGAGCCCACCCTTGGGAGTTGAGGTGAAGAGGGGCATGGTTGAGGGCTGCAGCTGTGAGCAGGGAGGGATGGGCCACCTTCCCCGTGGAGGGTGCAGCCTGGCATTCACTGGCAAGAGGGAGGGGTGAAAAGGGCAAACGTGGAGCATTCCAGAAAGGAAGGACAAGGGCCAGCCTGACAAGAGAGGCAGCTCCCAGGGAGACAAGCAAGGAGGTCGACGGGGGAGCTGTGCTGAAGGTAGGGCTGTGCTGAGGCAAGGCACTGTCCCCTCCACAGACCCAGAGCAGACCCGAGGGGAACGGGGAGGCGGAGGGAGGGAACACCGCACCAGCCAGAGCTCTCCCTGACAGGGACAGGAGCTCCTCACAGGCCCCCCCAACCGGGACTCACGCCGTCCACCGCCTCCAGGTCCAGTCGCAACTGACTCTGCAGCGAATGCAGCTTCTGCAGGGGAATGGCGCCGATGTCGCCGCAGCCACGCAGCCCCGGCAGCGCGGAGGCCACGCCCAGGCCCTCCAGCTCCTCCTGCAGCTGCTTCACCTGCGCCTCCACCTCTTCCTTCTTCTGCAGCGCCAGCTGCCGGTCGCTGTCCGCCACACGGGCACGCTCCTTGGCCTCCTGTGCCTCCCGCTGCCACGCGTCGCAGGCCTGAAACCCAGGGCCCACCTCAGCCCCTTCCACCTCGCCTGTGTCCCCTGCGTTCCTCCCCCGACCCACCGAGTCCTGTGCCGCCCGCCCTCCTCTTCACCTGTCACCCACACACGCTCACCTGCTTCACCTGCTGCCAGGACTCCTCCCACTGCCGGATCTTCCTCTTGGCCTCATCCAGCTGCCGCCTGACCCGGGCCAGCTCTGCTCCGTTTGGACTTGCACCCGAAGAGGACGAGGGGCCGGAGCTCAGGATGGGGGATGGGCTGGGGGAGAAGCTGCCGGAAACAAAGTCCCAGATGCTCCCAGGGACACCGTTCAAACCTGAGTGTGAAAGGGGCAATGACAGCCCCGTGGTGCTGGTGGCCGGGTGCGACTGGTGGGTGCTATTCCCGGGAGCACCCTCCAGGACCCACCTGCCGTGACTGCATGGGTGTGGCCACGACAGCCCCTTCCCCACTCCTGGACCCCACCTGGCTCAGGAAGAGGTGGGGTGCTGACAGTGACACCTGCCCTGGTCTCCCCACCAGATTTATGCCTTCCTGGCCACCTGAGGAGTCTCGACAGAGAGGAATTCAATTCGAGTTCCTGCGACCACATCACGAAGTGGGAGGGCCAGTGGTTCTCAGACTCCACTCCCAGGAACCCCTCACACACAGAGACTCTCAAGGACTCCAACGAGCTGTGTCCATGTGGTGACATCTGTCAACGTGTATGCAGCTTTAGACGCTGTGACCGAGCCATTTTAAATGCTACTTTAAAACAAAACTGGGCAGGCAGGGTGGCTCACGCCTGTAATCCCAGCACTCTGGGAGGCCGAGGCGGGCGGATCACTTGAGCTCAGGAGTTCGAGACCAGCCCGGCCAACATGGCGAAACCTGGTCTCTACTAAAAATACAAAAACTAGCTTGGCATGGTGGCGGGCACCTGTGCTATTTGGGAGGCTGAGGCAGGAGAATCACTTGAACCCAGGAGGTGGAGGCTGCTGCAGTGGGCCAAGATAACAGGAGCCTGGGCAACAGAGTGAGACTTTGTCTTAAAAAAACAGAAATATTTTAAATTTGGTATTGTTTCTAGGCAGGAATCTCACTGTGTTACCGAGGCTGCTCCTGAATCCCTGGCCTCAAGTGATCCACCCCGCCTCGGCCTCGCTGGGATTACAGGTGTGAGCCACCATGTTGGCCAAAAGTGTTAAGAGTTTTGGTTTGGTTTGGTTTTAGATGTAGTTTTGCTCTTGTTGCCCAGGCTGGAGTGCAATGACATGACCCCCCAGCTCCCCACAACCTCCGCCTCCCAGGTCCTAGCGATTCTCCTGCCTCACCCTCCAGAGTGGTTGGGATCACAGGCAGGTGCCACCAGTCCCGGCTCATTTTGTATTTTCAGTGGAGATGGAGCTTCACCATGTTGGCCAGGCTGGTCTCGAATTCCTGGCCTCAGGTGATCTGCCCACCTCGGCCTTCCAAAGTGCTGGGATTACAGGTGTAAGCCACCGTGCCTGGCCAAGTGTTGGTTCTTTTAAACCGCGTGTTTAAACCAAGTGTTGGGCCAGGCGCGGTGGCTCAAGCCTGTAATCCCAGCACTTTGGGAGGCCAAGGTGGGTGGATCACGAGGTCGAGAGATCGAGACCATCCTGGTCAACATGGTGAAACCCCGTCTCTACTAAAAACACAAAAAACTAGCTGAGCGTGGTGGCGCGTGCCTGTAATTCCAGCTACTTAGGAGGCTGAGGCAGGAGAATTGCCTGAGCCCGGGAAGCGGAGGTTGCGGTGAGCCGAGATCGCGCCATTGCACTCCAGCCTGGGTAACGAGAGCGAAACTCCGTCTCAAAAAAAAAAAAATTTAACAAATAGCCAGGCAGATCACAAGGTCAAGACATCGAGACCGGCCTGGCCAACATGGTGAAGGCTGGAACCTTCACCTCTACCTGGAACCCCACCTCTACTAAAAATACAAAAATTAGCCGGGCATGGTGGTGTACAGCTGTAATCCCAGCTACTCGGGAGGCTGAGGCAAGACACTCACTTGAGCCCGGGAGGTGGAGACTGTGGTGGGCCAGGGGGGATCAACCCACTGCACTCCCGCCTGGGCAACAGAGCGAGGAGACTCCACCTCCGGAAGGGCAGGGGGCGGGGGAGCATGGTAAAGTCTTTTAATGGAAAGATGCCGTGAGCATGTGCCATGTGGTTTCCCTCCGGGGATCAGGTGCGGAGGGAATCCCTCCAGGGGATCCCTGCGGAGCCCTTCACTCAGGAGGGCATCTGGGCGGGAATGCTCGCGGAGGGCGCCGGCACTCACCTAAGGAGCTGTAGGAGGCGGCTGTGGAGCCCAGTGCCCCCGGCTCGGAGCGCAGCGGCGGCGGCTGCTGGGGGGGCGTCATGGCTGAGGAGCCCGAGGGCCCCGGCAGGGGCTGGGACAGCGAGCTGAGCGGCGAGGTGGACGCAGAGGACGGCGAGTGCAGTGACGGTGCTCGGGGCAGGGAGCCGGGGATGGCGACAGGCGCAGAGCCAGCCAGCAACCTGGGACCTGGCGGGGGTGGCCCAGTGAGTCAAGGGAGTAAGGCCAGGCCTCTGCCCAAACATCCGCCCATGGGCCGGGGGCAGCCATGGAAGACGGACCCTGTAAGGCAGTGGTGGTGGGGACTCAGGGGTGGGGAGGTAGGGGTGATGGCAGGGCCAGGCCAGCAGCCGCCATCCATGGGTGTGGAGCCACAGAGCTCCAGGTAACCACATCCCTCACAGCCGGGGAAGCTACAGCCTCAAAGGGATTCTAACCAGAGGTGGGGACACAGGCATTCAATGTGGGCCCCAGAGAGGCCGGACACCCACCAGGCCCTGCCAGCCAACTCAGCCATTGGCACAGCCCTCCCAGCACTGGTCCAGGCCCCCCGAAATGGTTTTTCTTCTTTTAAAGTCAGAAAAAGATAAACTTTTAGGCTGAAGGATGGGAATCTTGTGTGTAAGATGTTAGAATACGTTAAGATACATTTGCATCGGCCGGTTGCAGTGGCTCACATCCGTAATCCCAGTACTATGGGAGACTGAGGCAGGTGGATCACGAGGTCAAGAGACGGAGACCATCCTGGCCAAGACCCGTCTCTGCTAAACATACATAAATTAGTTGGGCCTGGTGGCACGGGCCTGGAGTCCCAGCTTCTTGGGAGACTGAGGCTGGAGAATCACTTGAACTCGGGAGGTGGAGGTTGCAGTGAGCCGAGATTGCCCCACTGCACTCCAGCCTGGCCAAAGAACGAGACACTGTCTCAAAAAAAAAAAAAAAAAGATACATCTATACTGGTGTGGATCACTTGTCTACAATGTTAATGTATTTTGTATACAAAGTAAATGTTTGTCCTCAGGGGACCTTCACAACCTTCCTCAGGAAAAGCCCTACCTGTCTCTGCAGGGCCACTTTGCTGGGACAAAGGGGACCTGGGAAAGGAGAGAGAGGCGCTGAGGAGTCCACATGCAGGGGAGAGGAGTGGAAGTGAGGGAGAGGTACTGCCAGAAGGGGACCCTCCCACCCCAAAACCAGAGATGAAGTCTTGCCCTGTGACCCAGGCAGCAGTACAATGGTGCAATCTCGGCTCACTGTAGCCCTGACCTCCCGAGCTCAAGCGATCCTCCTGCAAAGCGCTCAGGAGTTCAGCAGCTGGAGGAGCAGGGCCTCAGGTCCTCCACACCCTCACCTGCTGGTCCCAGGTCGTGGCCGTCTTGCTCTTCCAGATCCTTCTCTAGGGATGCAATATTCACGTCACTAAGATGTAGATCTAACGCAGAACCTGTCAACAGAGGCCGCCATCATCCACAGGCCCCCAGGTGCTGCAGAGCTCAGAAGCCTAGCTGAGGACGACGACCGTCCTCCTGAGCTTCGAGACCCAGGGCAGGAGGCATGGAAGTTGCTTGAGGAGCCTTGGAAGGACACCCCCACCCCATCTGTGCAGCCCCCAGCAGGCAGCAGGAGGCTTGGCTCTACCAGTGGCAGAAAGCATGTGCTCAGACAGACGCCAGGCACTGCACCCCAGCAGCTGGGCCCTTGCCTCCCACACGCTGCTGCTGCTGCTGCCCCTCACAGTCTAAATACCTAAGCACGTGTTAGCCTCTGACCAAGTGCACACTTGACTGTGTAAAAAACTTGCTGGGAGGCTGATTTCATGTGCAGTTTCATGCAGAGCACTGAGACTCAGATCCCACCGCTCAAGATGGAGTGGGCCTACCTGGCCAGCCCTGCCTCCCTCTGCTGTCCCCACCTGTCCCTGCAGGCCGTGGGGCTGCCTTCCCTCCCAAGTCCCCACCCCTCACCCCAAGCAGCGGGAAGCAGTGACCCCAGTGCCCCTTCCTATAATTAGGAAGCCGTCTTGGGGAGGCTGAGCTCAGGCCACCAGCCCTGAAGCCACAGCTCTTCTTGAAATTGCGCAGCCTCCGCACAGAAGTTGACTTATGGGGTGGGGTATGGCTGGAGGGCCTGGGATCTGAGAACCCTCAAGCCCCGTGGAGCAGCCAGGGCACTGCTGCAGCTGCAGGAGTTCCGGGACACACCCTGTGGGACAGCACCGCCTCCCAAACCCAGTGTAGCGGCCAGCACCAAAGGACACCTCAGCAGCACAAGCCTCCACAATGGTGCCCTCCGCCCGCCAGCCCACCTTTGCGTCCACCCTCCCACATGCGCTGTGTGGGGTCTCTCTGGGGAGCCCTGCCCTGTCACCCCTGCTGGTTTCAGGTTCTTGGACCCCAACTAATGCCTGGTACTGGACTGTGTGCTGCTGAGTCCTGCACTGAGACAGGCAGAGCCACCCCTGCCTATCCCTGAAGGGCCCCAGACCCCTGTCCTCCTGTCCTCACCTGGGACAGGTGGTCCCTCCGTGGCCCCAGGCAACTGTACCCCAGGGGGATGCTGTCAGACCCGACTGTGGGGATCAGTGTACCGGGAACCCCCAGCCTGGCCAGCTGCTGCCTGGTGCTGGGTTCAGACCAGGTGGGGCCCAGAGGGAACAGAGAGGCGGTCACTGCCCCCCACCTACCCAGCATCCAGTCCTGCCCTCACAGGGCTCTTGCAGCCTCACTCCCCCACCCCACCCCACCCCACCAGGGCTGGGACTCCCGGGACCTGATCCTGGTGCCCATGTCAGGGTGACAGCAGGTTCGCCACACCGGGGGTGTCCCGGCAAACAGCTGGACAAACAAGGACTCGGCGGCTGAGGGACAAAACCCACTCTGCCAGGGAAGAGGGCTGGGACCCTTCCAGACAGTGCCAGCGTCATCGTCACGAAGGACAGGAGGGATGCCTTCCGAAGAAGGACGAGGCCCCAGCCACACGGGAGACTGGTGGGGAACGCAGTGTGGGGCCCAGCCTCAGCATGTGGCCTGTACCCCACTCTCCATCCAGGCTTCCCCCTGGAACCAGCCAGCATCAGTCAGCGCCACGGGGACCACATTAGCAAGCGCAGGGAGGCCGCTTGCCCGAGGCCTGGTGCTCGGTGGCAACACGCTCCAAGCTCCCCCTGCAGTCAGGACACCCTCGTGCCTCGGTGGTGGCCCGGCAGTACACGACCCATCGCGCACAGGCTGGCGTGGATATGGCACTGCCTGGCAGGTCCGGGACTCTTCACCCCGAATCTGGACCCCCTCAGCAGCCACACTGCGCCAAGACAGCACTCCACCACCCAGAGCAGCAGATGGGAGGAATCTGGCTCAGGGTGGACGCGGGACTCCAGAGGCCACAAAGCAGAGGCCACCCCCACCCCACTCCACAGCACCACCCCAGACCACAGCCAACCCTCAGCCACACACCAGCATCGAGGGAATTTCCAAGCTACAGAGCTACCTGGCAATGCGGTCCTTCCCCATCCCGTCACACAGAGGCAGCAGCAGAACCCGATCCCCCGGCCATCCGACAGGGCACACAGTGCATGGGACAGCCATCTCCACTCCCAAGGAGACACCGTTGAAATGAAACTTTTAGGAACTTCTGAAGGTCTTATCCAGAAACTAGAGGAATAGGTTGGGGGTGCAAGAAGCCAGGCCAAGACCCCCTGGGGACCAGGAACCCACAACAGCAGCCGCGAAGGCCTTGGCCCTCGAGGCTGTTCATCAGTGGAGCCAAAGGCAGGCCCCCGGCTGGCAGCACCCACAGCCATGCAGTCTTCTTCCCATTCGCGACACCCACCGTGGCCTGCAGGATGGCCAGCCCTGCTGGTCCCTGTTACCCGGCTGATGCCCTTGACCATTGCGGAAGCAGGCGTGACATCAAAGCCTGACTGAAACCGTGCTGAGCAGCACAGAGCCGAGACGCTGGAGACAGCAACAGAGGACCAGGCACTGAACAGCCTCACACAGGCGGCTCCAAGGCCCGGAGTCTCAGACACACAGTCGGCAGGGCCGCCTCCCTCTTCCCTCCTCCTTCCTCCCTCCAGGGCCTGGGGTGCTCCTCCTCCTCCTCCTGGCGTCCATCCTCCTTCATGGCTGGCAGCCCCATGGATCCAGTGCCTGCCTCTGTTCTGTGGGTTATCTCTTCAGAGTGTCTGTGTGCAAGTTTCTTCTTATAAGGAGACTGGTCACTGGCTTAGGGTCCCACCCTACCGGACTCACTGTAAGCTGATTACGAGGACCCTGCAGTAGCACCCCCAAATTTGTAACGGGGGGATACATTCCAAGACCCCCGTGGACACCTGATGTGGCAGACAGCATGAGACCCCCTATATACCAGGTTTTTTCCTATACGAACATCCCCATTTGTGTATCAGGCCCAATAAGAGATTAACAAGATTAACTAGTAACATAGACGGATTTCAGCCTTGCATAGTAATAAAAGTTACGTGAACGACAAAATGTCCTCCTGTATTGTACCACCCTGAATTCAGACCTCACACCAGTAACCGAGACCATGGACAGCCAACCCTGGGAACAGGACCTGACGTGTTTCCACATAACATCACGTTCCCAGGCAAGGGGCCTGCAGCTCAGATGCATCTCCAGCCCACGCACCCCTCCCCCCCCAAAGAATCTTGCTCTGTTGCCAGGCTGGAGTGTAGTGGGGCAATCTCAACTCACTATGACCTCTGCCTTTCGGGTCCGGCGATTCTCCTGCCTCAGTCTTCCGAGTAACTGGGATTACAGGCACGCGCCACCATGCCTGGCTAATTTTTGTGTTCTCAGTAGGTGTGAGGTTTTACCATGTGAGCCAGGCTGGTCTCACCTTGACCTTGTGATCTGCCTGCCTCAGCCTCCCAAAGTGCTGGGATTGCAGACATAAGCCACCATACCTGGCCTCAGATGCATCTTTTAGGGTACATAATTCAACCCAGGACATGGAGGCCACCTGAGATGCCCCTGCTGGTCCTGCCTGTCCTCCACAGGGACCCCAGGCCCCTCAGACTCTGGACCAACAGATCTGCCCCCTGATGTACACAGTCCTCCCTCCCTGAGCCCTCCCTCAGGGAGGAGACCCCCACCTCTGACCAGCCTGCACTCCCCCTGCAGTTGTTTCTGGGGCCTCCTCACAACTTGTTCAGCCTAACACCACCGGGGCCCTTCCCTCCAGCCCTGCACCTGGTGCCCTGAATTGCCTCTGGTCACAGCACCAGCCTCCCCCCAGGCCCAACCCCATGCTCACCCTCCTCCCTGGGGGCTGGCAGCCTCTCCTGTGATCTGGACCCATCCAACAGTGGCTCTGCAACCCGAGCCCAGATGTCTTGGACGTCCCTCAGAGGGCGGCCACAGCCCTCCCTCCTCTCTGGCAAAGGATCCCTCTATTACGCGGCCTTCACAGACACCGTGTGTGCAGGCGCCTCCAGGAAGCTGGCACTGCAGGATCCCCTCCTCAGGGGCTGCTTGCTGGCCAGGCCCTGATAGGAACACTGAGCTCCTCCTCCTTCAGCCCACACTCACTGAGGCCCATGCCCAGTCTTCATGCGTCACAGGAGTGACCTTCCTTCTATAAAAACCTCATTGAGGCCCGAGTCCTGGCCTGCAAGAAAGAAGGGAGCTTGTACCCTCACGTATGCCAGTAAACCATACCAGGGCTCTAGACAAACTAACCCACTGAGGACAGGCACCAACCCCCTACCGCAGGCCTGCCCCACAGCCCCCTGGTGCTCCCATGCTGGGACTAGATGACGGGGAGGGCTGAGCCATCTGTGCCCGGTCAGCTCAGCTAGGCTTAGGAACCTGGACTTGCCCTCTGCACCCAAGTCCCAGAATCAGGATGAGGCAGACCCTTGAGAGCTCACCGTTCCTCACACCTGGAGAGATCCAGAAACTCATCATGAAAAGCAAAGATACAAAGGAGCTGGGAGGGACAGGATCAGAGGCACCTTTTCGCCCCTGGAAGTGAGTTAATTACCCCAGGACCTGTGAGTAAACTCGGCACCAAGGCACCCCCGACCAGGTGTGAAGGGCGCAGCACACGAGGGACTGCCTTCACTGCGCACCTGACAAACTGCGGCTCCCACTCAGCTGAGGGTGGCAGCCACCACCTAACTCAGCCAAATCACTTGCACTGGAGCCCGGGAAGCCACCTGGAGAAGGGGATGTTTGGGAAGCATCTGACAGCCCCCAAGACACTCTGGCCCTGCTTCAGAGCCAGGTACCCCTAATCCAAAGAGGGCCCCAGGGAGGGTCCCAGGAGGCTCCACCATCCTTAGGGGCTCACTCCCTGATAGCTGGCGGGGAGCCAGCTGCTGCACCGTGCTGACCCAGTTTCCAGCCTCCCCCACCTCACCTCACTGTTCCAAGGTCAGACCCAAATCTTCTGAAACATCTGCAAACAAAGAGCTGACCCTTGTGCAGAGGCAAAATTTAGGTGACGCTGGTTACCTAAGCGAGAACAGCTGGGCCAAGCACCTGACCCAGAACCAGTCCCGCCAGGCCAGGCTGTCTCAGCTCCCAGAGTTAGTTAGGAAACCCCGGCCCCCGCTGAGTCACGGCCACACAGCCGGGCTCCGCCGTGACACAGCACATTCAAGGCGCTGCGGTCCCCCGGGGTCAGGGACACCCGAGGACAAGCTACAGACCACTCGGAACTCGGGCCAGGGCGGGGACTGCCCCAATGCCAGCGAGCAGAGTGCAGGCTGGGCACGGCCAGGACGCAGATTTCAGCCCTCTCCTGCCCGGCTCCCCGGAACTCTCCTGCCCGGCTCCCCTGCCCTCTCCTTGCCCGCCCCTGCCTCCCTTGCCAGCCTCTGCTTCCCCTCCCGTCCCCTGGGCCCGGCCCCACCCCGACCCCGCCTCGGTAGGGGACGCAAGAGGCCCGGACCAGCGCTGACAAGCGGCGAGTGCCCGGCAGAGACAAGTTCCGAGGTGGCGGCGCCTTCGCCTCGCTCCGGGCCTCTAGAGAAGCTCGGACCCACCCCGCGGCGGTCACACCCGGCTCCGGGACGCGGGGACGCACCTGGGGGGCGCACCTGGGGGACGGCCGGCTCCTGAGCGCCGAGTAGAGAGACTCACACCTTGACGGCGCAGGGCTGCCTAGCACCCGGGCCGCCGCCGATGCTGACTCACGATCTGCGGCCGCCCCGCACCGCCGCCGGGGATTCAAACCCGGCCCGCGCCCCGCCCTCGCCGCGCTGGCACCGCCCCGCAGCGCGCCGGCCACGCCCACCCGTCCGCCCCGCCCTCCCCGCGCTGGCACCGCCCCGCAGCGCGCCGGCCACGCCCACCCGTCCGCCCCGCCCTCGCCGCTCCGGCCCCGCCCCCCGCTCCGGCCCCGCCCCGCCGCACTGGCCCCCGCCCCCCGCACCGCCCTCCCCCAACTTTACACCCTACCCGGGCGTACCCTGCCCCCGCGGCTCCTGGCCCCGAGCCGGGCGGGCTGGCGGATGGGCGCGGACAGCGAAGGACAGGGGTCTTCAGGCGAATCGCCCCAGAGCCGCTCCACTGCCCAGCCCTTCCTGCCCTGCCCACCTGCACCTGCGGCGGCTCCTGGCGGACTCAAGTAGAACACGCTGGACCCAACACAAGCGCTCGCGGGGGCGGCGTGACCTGGACCCGTTGCCTCCCCTGCAGAACTCCCCTCCCTCCCAAGTCCGCGTGCCCGCCCAGCTCCATCTAAACGCGGGATAATGAGCTCACAGGTCACTGTTAGAATCTGAAACCTGTTCCTACAAAGTGGAAGGTGAAGGAAAATGGAACCTATCGGATGACCCTGAAATGACTCCACTCAATCCCTTAAATACAGAATCCGCTCACTCTTCTACTCCAGGCTTCAGTCATAGCACAACCTGAAGGAAATTCCACTATTAACACAAGGAAAAAACGACCCAGTCTACACCTGCTTCGCCTAACACCCTCTGCAACAGCTAATAAAATGCGCAGCAGGTAGGTAGGTAGGCAGGCAGGCAGGCAGGCAGGCAGGCAGGCAGGCAGGCAGGCAGGCAGGCAGGCAGGCAGGCAGGCCTACACCTGGGGCCAGGCAGGCCTGAGCGCCGTGGGCGGGGAATCCCTGAGCCTGGGGTCAGCGGGCAGCTCTGGGGACACTGCCTCCTGTACCTGCGGCTCCTGCAGGGCTGTAACTTCACAGCGATGCCACGGGCATGGACAGAAGAAAAAAATCAGGCTGCCATTGGGTGGCAAAGCTCACAATTTCAGCTGCAGCAGCAACAATACATTGCCTGTAACTAAGGCAGTGTCAATCCCGAAAAAAAAAAATCCACCTGTTCACCTCTGAGTAGTTGGTTCAGGAATTTTTTTTTTATTTTCTTAGAGACTCTGTCACCCAAGCTGGAGTGCAGTGGCATGATCTCAGCTCACTGCAACCTCCACCTCTCTGGTCCAAACAATTCTGGTGCCTCAACCACCTGAATGTCTGGGATTACAGGCATGCACCACCAGGCCCAGCTAATGTTTGTATCTTTAGTGGAGACAGTGTCTCACAATATTGGCCAGGCTAGTCTTGAACTTCTAACCTCAGGTGATCTGCCTGCCTCGGCCTCCCGAAGTGCTGCAATTACAGGTGTTAAGCCACTGCTCAGGACTCAGGAAATATTTAAGTCAATGAAAGTTAATATGCTTCAAGATCGAGAGTTACATCCTGAAACAGTTGAAAATGTGCCTCAGATATTAAAGAATGGCAGGAAAAATTACTACAAATGTGCAAAGTCCAGTCTATCTGAAGGTGTGCTATGCATGGGCAGCCAGGCCTCTGTCAAGCACACACACCTGGTTCTGTTTTCCACCTGAGTGGGCAGAGTGGAAAGAGGGTCTCACTTATTTGAGATTTAATTTTCCTAAATATTTTTGTTGTGCTGGAATTCTACCATTACTACTTTTAGGTTGGGGAAGAGAAACTTTATTTAAAAAACAATGTTTTTGTTTAAAAAAAATAAATCAATCCTGGCCAGGCATGTTGGCTCACGCCTGTAATCCCACCACTTTGGGTGGCCAAGGCAGCAGATCACCTCAGGTCAGAAGTTCGAGACCAGTCTGGCCAACACAGTGACACCCGTCTCTACTAAAAATACAAAAATTCGCCGGGTGTGGTGGCTGGTGCCTGTAATCCCAGCTACTCGGGAGGCTGAGGCAGAACTGCTTGAACCCTGGAGGCGGAGGTTGCAGTAAGGTGAGATTGCACTGCAGCCTGGGCAACAGAACTAGAAGGGGAAAAAAAAAAAAAACCTGCTCAGAGGCCAGACCCTCATGGGGCTTTGGCCACTGTGTGACCTCTAAGTTTCTGAGGGGATGGGTGAATTTCAGGGTGTGATTTAGCAAGATCCATGGCCCTGGGTTACACAGCAATGTCAGATTGAAACCAGCATGTTCTAGCTGGGCCCGGCTGCAGCTATACGCGGGAGACTAATGCAGGAGGGTGGCCTGCGCCCGGGGTTTGAGGCTGCAGCGAGCTGCCTGCACCACTGCACTCCTGCCCGGGCCACAGAGTGAGACCCTGACTCAAAACGTAAAACCCCAAAACGCACAAAACAAACTCAGGGAAGGCCGTCACCTGTGCTGGCCTCCAAGTTCTCTACCCCTGGGCTGCCTGGAACGGGATGGGGGTGGGGACCGCAGCATATTCAATTCATGAGACCTCTCTGGTTCAAGAGAACACCACAGATGCCCCAGTTTCAAGCTGTAATAAAACATGTGCACTTGTTTCTGCACGAGAGAAACATAACACAGCGATACCACCCGTGAAGTTTTACAGCGTTAAAAACACCCTTTAAGGTGAAGCCCCAACAGGACTCATCTCACATCCCGTACTTCCTCCTCCAAAGGCCCCAAAAGAAGAAGGTAATTTTCAAAACAGACCGCAAGGCGGAATTTCAGTTGTGTCCTCAAACAGGTGAGGCCGCCAGGCTGAGGCAGAAGTGAGGAGCCCTTCCCGGGCAGGGCAGCCCAGGGCTCCCAGCCAGTGAGGAGGAAACACAGGCAAACACTGCCCGCGCCTGTGCCCCCGCCCCGACAGAGCCCAGCACCAGTGCTGCGGCCATCCACGATTCCCGCTCTCCCCAGGGCCTTCTGAGGGAGGGAGAGGCCTGGATTCAGCAGGCCTGTGTTCTCTGGAAGACACGCAATGGAGCCCACAAAACACCAGGGCTGTGAAGGGGAGATTCTCAAGGCCACAGAAGGTCCCGGTGTTTGGGCAAGTGACCCTTTAAAAAATGCAGGCCAGGTTCACACCTGTAACCCCAGCACTTTGGGATGCCCAGATGGGTGGATCACGAGGTCAGGAGTTGAGACCAGCCTGGCCAACATGGTGAAACTCCATCTCTACTAAAAACACAAAAACTAGTCAGCCATGGTGGCGCATGCCTGTAATCTCAGTTACTCAGGAGGCTGAGGCAGGAGAATGACTTGAACCCAGGAGGTGGAGGTTGCAGTGAGCTGAGATCACACCACTGCACTCCACTCCGGATGAAAGAGCGAGACTCCATCGCAAAAAACAAAAAATGCACACACACGGAAGAAAACCGCAAAGGCCTCGGCTCAGCCCCAAGCGAATGCAGGGGCGGGAAGGCCCAGCAGCAACACAGGCTAAGAGCTGTGTCCAAAAGATGCACCTGGGTGGCAGAGGTGCTGAGCGCAGGGCCTTGGGGGCCCGAGGGCCGTCGTGGGGCCTCAGGAGCTGCACCTGGCTTTCCTCGCCGACACCACTCAGGATGAGACTGCTCTAGTGTCCTGCTAAGGTGCCATCTGTGGCCTAAGTGGCCCCTGGGAAGAGTCTCTCCTCGAAGCTGGCGGCGTCCAGGCCTTCATGGGTGGAGCTGCCGGGGGCCTGCAGCTGGGCCCGAGCAGGTCCGTGCAGGGCAATGACCAGCAGCTGTGGCTGTCAGGCAGAAGTCTCTGCAGATCTGGCCACCCAGCCACCTCATGCACTGACGTGGGCCCTGACAGTGCTGAGGTCCCACTCCGAGACCCAGAGTGTGCCCGTGCAGGCACTGTAGCAAGGGCCCACCATGTGGCCCTGCCAGCCGTGTCCTCCTAGTCCCACGCCCAGCTCCCACGACTCCCAACATCTCTCAGCAGCCTCCCTGTTCTCAGTCCCTGGGCCGGGCGGCACCCACTCTGCCTGGCTCCTGGAAAGCTCTTCGTCCCCAGGGCCCGTGGCACCCAGGCTGGGAGCCTCTCTGAGCCAAGGCTTGTTTTCAGAACCACAAGTGCAACACGACCAAAGTGACAGACGATGGAAAACATGCATCTGGTTTCTCTACAAAACGATTCTGCAACATGTCCTGAAATGGAGGCACTGTTGCTGAAAAGCTACAGCCTGGGCACAGAAGGAGGTCAGGGAGAAAGGAGGAGGGCACCAGACTTACCGAGGACGGCCTCCACGGTGCTGCCGGGGCCGAGCGGGAGGGTGCGGGCGGAGGGCACGGGCAGCGCGGTGGGGGAGGAGCTGCCGGAGCCGGCGCTGGACGCCAGGCTGGACGCCACACTGGAGCTCACGCTGGGGGTCGGCGGGTGGACCGCTGCAAACACAGCCAGGTGGTTCTGTTCAAAGACACAAACACCATGAGCAAGCGCCCCTGCGTGGAGGAGGCGTGCGACATCAGCACCCTGCAGAAAGCACTGCAGGACGCCGCAGACTTCCACACCTGAGTGAGGCCCAGGGAGAGCTTCCCCGGGCCTGGAGGGACGCTGACAGCACCGAGGAGCGACACCAGGGCAGGCAGAACAGGGGCTACAGCGTACCAGAGATAGGCACAGGCACCTCTGGGAAGCATCTCATGAGTTTTTCTGCAGACAAGGTTTCAGGAGTAGACATTTGCCAGTAAAATGAATCCGGCAGGTGCAGAAAGATGTGTCACAGGCCAGGGGCCTGCCAGCCCCAGGGATAAGCCCTGCAGCCTGCCTGCCCTTCTCCCTACTTCCTGGGTGCCCCTGCCCCGGCTCTCGGCCAGGACTGGCTCCTGGGCACCTTGGGGCTCCCAGAGACACGTCCTCCCGGGGACTTCAGTAGAGACCCAGCACCACTTCCAAAAACATCCATAGTGTGGTCCTGTGACCTTGTTACCGGGGAAAGTAAAACATGGGGCAGTTCACAAGATCTACATTTGGAGAATAACAGATCAAAAGAAAAAGAACAAGCACACAGAGCAGTGGTGAATAAAAACCCAGTAACAGGAGGACGCTGGAAGCAGGAAACACCCAATACAAACGACCCACCACGGAGCTGCAAAGCCAGATGTCACATCACACAGTGGCTGGAGTGTCTAGAGAGCTATCTAGGAGGTCGCTGCAAAATACAGTCACGGGGAGGGCACTGAACACAAGAAAACACCAGACACAAATGACCCAGAGCGATTACCTATGAGGTCACTACAAACAAAATCAAGCACCAAAAGCTGGATTAGAGTAAGTTTCTGGCCAGGCGTGGTGGCTCATGACTGTAATCCCAGCACTTTGGGATGCCAAGATGGGCAGATTACTGGAGGCCTGGAGTTCGAGACCAGCCTAGCCAACATGCAGAAACTCTGTCTCTACTAAAAAATACAAAAAAACGTAGCCAGGGCCAAGCATGGTGGCTCATGCCTATAATCCCAGCACTTTGGGAGGCCAAGGCAGGCGGATCACCTGACTTCAGGAATTCAAGACCAGCCTGACCAACATGGTAAAACCCCATCTCTACTAAAAATACAAAAAATTAGCTGGGCATGGTGACATGCGCCTGTAACACCAGCTACTCGGGAGGCTGAGGCAGGAGAATCACTTGAACCTTGGAGGTGGAAGTTGCAATGACCTGAGATCACACACTATACTTCAGCCTAGCAACAAAGTAAGACTCCATCTCAAAAAAATAAATAGCCAGGCACTGTGGCTCATGCCTGTAATCCCAGCTTTTAGGGAGCCAGAGGCAGAAGGACAGCTTGAGCCCAGAAGTTCAAGACCTGCCTGGGCAATACAGCCAGACCCCGTTCTCCATAAAATGGAAAAAATAAATAAATAAGAACAAAAATAAATAAAATAAAAGTAGCCGGGCTTAGTGTCAGGCGCCCGTAATCTCAGCTACTCGGGAGGCTGAGGCAGGAGAATCGCTTAAACCCGGGAAGCGCAGGTTTCAGTGAGCCGAGATCACACCACTGCACTCCGGCTTGGGGGACAGAAAGTCTCTGTTTCCAAAAAATGTGAATTGCATACCGACGTATTACAGCTGAAATGGTATGATATCTGGGTTTTGCTGAAAAGTAACGCAGGCGAAGTTAACCTTGGAAGGTATGATTTTACTAGTTTGTCTGCTTAAGTAAAACTATCCGTAATAAGGAAATTTAATGTGCATTTCCAAGGGTCAGAAATCGTCCACAGACTCGTCCCCGACAAGAATGGTCCTGGCTCCAGGCTCCTGTGACCGTGGGGTCCCGCCGCCTGCACTGGCTTCCTTCTGGGTTAACAGATTTGCTCCTCAGCCCCTGGCACAGGAGGCGTGCAGAGCCCCCAGGACTGACTCAGAAAACACTCGCCTCTGGCTGCAGAGTCTGGGGACGGCCGCCAGAGCTCCCTGCACAGGGCGAGACAGGGTCTGCCCCTTCGTCCATAATCCACTTGACCTGACAGGCCCAGAGACCACTTTCCCTCAAGCCATGAAAGAAGGGACCACAGGCCACCCTGTGGGCATCAGGGACGGTAGTAACTCCTGCACCCAACACTGGTGACCCTCCCAGCCGTGCATGGCGCTGCCGACACCTCCCCCTCATCAAGCCCCCATGGTGAGCCTGTAACAGGGTTGCTGGAAGCCTCACGTTCTCCAGCAAGCAACCCAGAAACACAATGGATGGTGAGGGGCCTGGGGCCATCTCAGTGGCAACCTGCCACCACCACCCCAACAACCCTGCAGCGCTTCCTGTCCCTGCTCCAGAGCCTGAGTGTGGCCCCAGGAAGGCTGGCAGGGGCCCCCCGACAGGCATCCCGGTGACACAGCACCCAGGAGCAAAGCAGATGCCTGGGAGCTCCTTGTGCTCAGATGGCTTGGACTGGGAGAGGACTGACCTTCTCTACCAGCAAAGGACAGGGCTACCCAGGCTGTGGCCACCAGTGAGGGGCAAGTGGCATGGGGCAGTCCACCAAGGTCACTGCATCCAAGAGCTGTGACTCAGAACCAAAAGCTCAGTGCCAGCAATGCACTGCCTTCCAGAGTATGAACACCACACAGTGGCACAGCCACACAGCCTGCAGAAGCTCTCTCCCACCCCTCCCTCTCCCATCTCCTGGCAGCCCACCCCATGTCCCGGGGTCTGCGTTCTGGGCACAGTCCCTACACAAAAGCTGCCCCTGCTGAGTCAGGCTGAGGTCCACCTCATCCTGGCCCACCAGTCACCAAGAGGCCACCGCCTGGGTCACAGTAACCCCTGTGGATACCCTCCCCAGCTCCAAGAACCCTGCGGGCATCTCAGTCCTTGCCTGAACCCAAATCCAGGGCCTCACCCAGTCCCAGAGGCCACCTCCCAAATAAAGGAGAGCTGAGGGAGTCTTCCCTGGAAAGGCTCCGGGCCAACCACAAAGCCACGGACAACACTGGGGTGTGCAGGGCAGGCTGGCCCTGCCCTGGGTGGCACGGGGAGCCTGTGCCCAGCATCTGTGTCTGCACAGAGCCGAGGAATGCAGAAAGCCAAGAGGCACCACCGTGTAGGCACTACGTGTGCCCCCACAGCAACACTGGTCTGAAGGCTGTGCACAGGCTGACCCTTGGCTGAGACAGGGCCTCAGGCTCCCAGAGCACTGCCCAGCCCAGGATGAGTGCAGCGGCCTGAGACGCCAATGCCGCCTCCTTCCCGGGTGTCTGCAGGAGTGGACTCTGCCCTAGGGGCCTTCCTCTCAGCCCACAGGAGGCCATAAACCCAGAGGGACTGGAGAGGAAGCCTGAACCCTGAGTGATTCCCAAACCTTGTGCTGACTCTGCCCAGGAGCCAGCCAGGGTGATGCACATACTGTGACCTCAGTCCAAACGATGACCTGAAAATCATCCACATCCATGTCAGTCCTTGTCCTCCAAGGCATAATGACCACAGACCAGCCTGGTGTGGGGGCCCATCCACAGGAGGGCTGGACATGGTGAGAGAAGCCCGGAAAGCCCCGTGGGGACGCCGCGTCTCCACTAACACCTGCACCGCCTGCCCCATGAGGACACCGTGCCTCCACTAACCCCCACACCGCCCGCCCCGTGAGGACAGCACACTCTGGGCCACCACTGGTACTGCCTGCCTGGTTTTTTCATCACAGTGAAACATACTATAAATTGACTATGGTGACCACGTTTCAGTGTAGTCAGGGGCATGAATTCCACCCACACTACTGTGCAGCCATCACAGCACCCACCTCCAGAACTCCTCACCTCCCAGCCGGAAGCTCTGACCCAGTGGAACACTTGCCCCCTCTTCCCCCAAGCCCCCACCAAGCTACCTCCTGTGTCTGTGTATCTGACTCCACTAGAGGCCTCTGTGAGTGGAGTCACACAGGATTTTCTGTGTCTGTGAGTCTGACACGGCTAAAGGCCTCTGTGGGTGGAGTCACATGGGATTTTCTGTGTGAGTCTGACCACGCTAGAGGCCTCTGTAACTGGAGTCACGCAGGAATTTCTGTGTCTGTGAGTCTGACACCGCTAGAGGCCTCTGTGGGTGGAGTCACGTGGGATTTTCTGTGTCTGCGAGTCTGACCCCGCTAGAGACCTCTGTGGGTGGAGTCACGCAGGATTTGTCTTTCGGTGACTGGCTGTTTCAGTCAACAGTGTCTTTGTTATGCACCAAACATGTCCCCCAAATTCCTACACGGAAGCCACGACCCCTACTGTGACTAAATTTGGAGACAGGGCCTGTGAGGCATAATTAAGGTGAAATGAGTTTCTAAGCCAGGCGTGGAGGATCACACCTGTAATCCCAACACTGTTTGAGCCCAGAAGCTCAAGACCAGTCTGGGCAACATAGTAAGACCCCGTTTCTACAAAATACACAAAGATTAGCCAAGCATGGTGGTGTGTGCCTGGGGTCCTAGCTACTCTGGAGGCTGAGGTGGGAGGACTGCTTAAAGCCGGGGAGTCCCAGGCTGCAGTGAGCTGGGACTGGGCCACTGCACCCCAGCCTGGATGACAGAGCAAGACCCGGTCTCAAAAAATTTAACCAACTGTGAAAAACAATAGCAACAATGAAATGAGGTGTTAGGGGTGGGGCCCTACACGGCTGCCATTCACAGGGAGTGACCGCACGGATGCCCACGCACAGAAGGGTGACCCAGAGGACACAGGGGGAGGCAGCATCCGCACACCCAGGGGGGGCCTCAGGAGGAGCCAGCCCTGGACATCTCAAGCTCAGACTCAGTGCCCAGAACTGAGAGAATAAAGTGCTGCTGCTTTTGGTTTTTGGATTTCATTTTGAGACAGGGCCTCACTGTCACGCAGGCTGAAGTGCAGTGGCGCAATCTTGGCTCAATGCAACTTCTGCCCTCTACCTCCTGGGCTCAAGCAATTCTCCTGCCTCAGCCTCCCAAAGGTTCCAGCCTCCCTGGAACCACAGGTGTGAGCTACTGTGCCCAACCAAAACTACCTCATTCATTCATTCATTCATTTTGAGACTGAGACAGGGTCTTGCTCTGTCACCCAGGCTGGAGTACAACGGCACGATCTCAGCTCACTGCAACCTCCGCCTCCCAGGTTCAAGCAATTCTTTTGCCTCAGCCTCCCAAGCAGCTGGGACTACAGGCACGCACCACCATGCCTGGCTAATTTTTTATTTTTAGTAAAGACAGGGTTTCACCACACTGGCCAGGATGGTCTCAATCTCCTGACCTTGTGATCTGCCCACCTTGGCCTCCCAATGTGCTGGGATTCCAGGCGTGAGCCACTGCGCCCAGCCAGTTCTGCTGTTTGAACATGCCCACCTTCATCCTTCCCTCATAGCCCAAGGAAAGTAACACAGATGGGCTCTGGCGGGCCCCTCTCATTCCCCTGAGCAGAAAACGGCAGGAGGTTTTGGCTTTGTTGCTTCCAAGGTGTAATACCAATGTTTCAAACAGACAGACGTGGGGTAGAAGGAGAGAGAATTCCGTGACCAGTGGATGTTAACCAGATGGCTCTGTGAGCCGAGAGTGAGCGGAACCAAGGACGCACTAGTTCAGCCCTAGCACAATGCCGCGCCGTCAGCCACGAGGGCCGCGGGAAGCCTGGGGGGCTGTACCTGCTTGCTGTCCTGCTCACTGGCCTTCGGGCCACCCTCGGCTGGCAAGTCTCTCCGCTTGGCCTGCAACAGAAAAAAAGAGTCATATGGAGAAAAAGCAGGGAGAGGCCGGGCACGGTGGCAGATGCCTGTAACCCCAGCACTTTGGGAGGCCAAGGCAGGCAGCTCACAAGGTCAGGAGATCGAGACCATCCTGGCCAACACCATGAAACCCCACTTCTACTAAAAATACAAAAACGTAGCTGGGTGTGGTGGCGCGTGCCTATAGTCTCAGCTACTTGGGAGGCTGAGGCTGGAGAATCGTCTGAATCCGGGAGGTGGAGGTTGCACTGAGCCGAGATCACATTACTACACTGCACTCCAGTCTGCGCGACAGAGCGAGACTCACAGACACAACCTCTGCTCAGAATTTACAAATATGCTCATTTTCTTTTTTTTTTTTTTTGAGACAGGATCTCACTCTGTCTCCCAGGCTGGAGTGCAGTGGCACGACCTCCCTGGCGCACCCTATTCTCCTACCTCAGCCTCCCAGGCAGAAACACAGGTACTTGAAAAATTAGCACCCGGCTAATTTTTCAAAGCTTTTTGGAGAGATGGTCTCCCAAAAGACCATGTTGCCCAAGTGGGTCTTGAACTCCCAACCTGAAGCGATCGTCCGACCTCAGCCTCCCAAAGTGCTGGGTTTATGGTCATGAGCCACCAAAACCGGCCGAAGACACTAGATGTTGAAGGTCCCATGAAACAGAAGAGACGCCTGAATCTTCTGGCTCCCCGTCGGTTATCCTGAGTTCCATTTCTTTTTCTTTTTTTTTTTTTTTTTGAGAGGAAGTCTCGCTCTGTCACCCAGGATGGAGTGCAGTGGTGCGATCTCAACCCAATGCAACATTGGCCTACCAGGTTCAAGCAGTTATCCTGCCCCAGACTCCCAATTAGCTGGGGTTACAGGTGCGTGCCACCACACCCAGCTAATTTTTCTATTTTTAGTAGAGACGAGTTTTCTTTTTTTTTTTTTTTTTTTTTAATGAGACGGAGTTTCACTCTTGTTACCCAGGCTGGAGTGCAATGGCGTGATCTCGGCTCACCGCAACCTCCGCCTCCTGGGTTCAGGCAATTCTCCTGCCTCAGCCTCCTGAGTAGCTGGGATTACAGGCATGCGCCACCATGCCCAGCTAATTTTTTGTATTTTTGGTAGAGACGGGGTTTCACCATGTTGACCAGGATGGTCTCGATCTCTTGACCTCGTGATCCACCCGCCTCGGCCTCCCAAAGTGCTGGGATTACAGGCTTGAGCCACCGCGCCCGGCAGAGACGAGTTTTCAACATGTTGGCCAGGCTGGTCTCGAACTCCCAACCTCAGGCGATCCACCCACCTTAGCCTCCCAAAGTGCTGGGATTACAGGCGTAAGCAACTCTGCCCGGCCTGAGTTCCATTTCTTACACTTGAATGGGGCTCTCTGACTCTGGGCTGGTCTGTGTGACGGCAAGGTGCAAGCTCTGCACTCCCTGCACCAACCACAGCATTAAACCCCAAATGAAGCCATTCACCTAAGGCAGAGGCTCAGGTGAAACGGTGAGAAATAGACGAAGGGGGTCAGAGTGTGCCACCTCCAAAACATGCCACTCTTTGACAAAAAGATTATTTTGAGTTGAAGGCAGCAGACGCCGGAACAGCCCTCTGCCTTCCCTTCCTGCCCTGAAGCCGGGCGTGAATTTCCTTTGTAAAGGTACCTTCTCCCATCTCCATACCAGGAGGAGAGGCTGCAGACGGAGCCTGTGTAAACCAAACTCACTGAAGTTACTCTCGTCTTCCATCAGTTTCCCCGACAGCTTTACCTTCCTAGGAGCCCAACCCCCTTTTCTCTTTTTCTCTTTTGAAATGGAGTCTCGCTCTGTCACTCAGGCCAGAGTGCAGTGTCGAGATCTCAGCTCACTGCAACCTCCGCCTCCTGGGTTCTAGTGGTTCTCCTGCCTCAGCCTTCCGAGTAGCTGGGATTACAGGCACATGCCACCATGCCCGGCTCATTTTTGTATTTTTAGTAGAGATGGATTTCACCATGTTGGCCAGGCTGGTCTCAAACTCCTGACCTCAGGTGATCCGCCCGCCTCAGTCTCCCAAAATACTAGGATTATAGGTGTGAGCCACTGCACTCAGCCTAGTGGCAAGGATTTTTCTCGACTCTTCTAGAAGAGCTGCAAACTCCACAGACTGCCTTCGACCACACTACTGAGAAGTCATAACCATCCACATCCCTAACAGTTCCATTAAACCAAAGAACACTGGGCATCACCCTGGGAACACCGTTCACTTACGTTACCCGGCTGGCTGCTGCCGGTGGAGGCGGGACTCCCGGGGTGGAGATCGCGGCAGCCCCAGTCATTCATGATCCCCAGGCTCTCTGCAAGGACAGGGGAGCAGCGGGCTCTGAGGGCGGCTAGTGGGCGACAGTGACACGAAGAAGTCTCCACACTACATGTGAGGGTCAAGCGAATGCGGCCTTCTCACAATCACCCCTCGGGGGTGTGGCAAGAGGACGGCAGGGCTGACAGGAGACGCTGGGGCAACGGGACCCTTGGGCCTCAGCCTTAAGGTGTTCATGTGTTTAACACTAAACGCAACATTTACAATGTGAACAAGAACAGCGGCCCTCCTCACTAAAATGAAAAGCAGAAGGGAAATCTGAGCTAGTGACCACACTCACAAAAGCTGGAACCCATACCCTAGGGCTAACTAGGAAGAACCCATTGGAACATGGGGGAAGGCCGAGTGGGTTCCCACTGGGGCTTGCTTCTGCTGCTGGGAACTGTTTATGGACCATGTAACCCCCAAGGCTAAGCCACATCCTCCAGACAGCTAACACGGGCTCTGGAAAGCACGCTGGCCCTGAGGCCGCCTGAGCAGCCGTTGCTCGAGGGTCTCTGCTGTCTCCTCTGCCTGGGGTGCACAGACCCCGTCACTCCACAAAGGCAGTGCTCCTGGGTGGGCGCCCAGCAGGACAGCAGGCTCAGGACAAGGCCCAGGCAGCGGTGGCAGAAGGACCCAGCTTGGAAGCCTGGGAGGCAGGTGGAGGCACCAGCCGGCTCACGCCAGGACTCAGCCTCGAGGCTCAGGGCCCCCGCGCACCTGGAGACAGCATCCCACACAGGCTCCACCAGGACTGGCCCACACCTGCGTAGAGGAAGCCCAACCTCAGGCGGCACAAACACCCTCCCACCCCAGGGGGCCTCCACGGGCAAGTCGGGGGCTCCCAGGCCCCCACCATGGTGCTGAGCTCCCACCCGCCTTCCAGGTCCACGTGGCCAGCTCCGGGTCACCAGTGACTCCAGTGAGAGTCTGCAGAGCTGCTGAGCCCGCCAAGGTGAACCTGCCACAGGGACGGCCACTCACTCTCCACGTGTGCAAAGGCGCAGAAGGGGCCGCGCGGGCAGTACCCGGTTTGGCGAATGTCGTTGCATTTCGTAGATTTGTAGATCTGGGAGGAAAATGAAATGAAGAGGCTGGATTGGAAACAGGATTCTGTGGGACGATCACAGCTGGTGTTACCCCACGGTGGAGAATTAAGCTCCAAATCGTGAAAGAGGCCCCTGAATAGAGGGGTGTGGGCCCTGCCCTCCTCCACTTGGTTCCCACATCCCTCCTCTCTGCAGAGCCGAACCACAGGAAACATGCACAGGTGTGAGGCCGTTCCCCCAGCACCTACCCTCACGTCACAGGCAAAGCCATTTCCCTGATTGGTATTTTCCGAAAGATGCACCAAATACAGAGTCTGGTATGCAGCAGACGGCTAATAAGTGACTATTAAAGGAACACATGTCTGTTCCATAGCCAGACCGTCTGCCACTTCACCCAGCGTGACAGACACTCTCAAGAGGTCAACACCACATAAGACCCGGGAAGGGACAGACCAGCCTGGAAGCACCCAGTCTGCCCTAGGAGGGCCTGGCCCAGCCCCTCCTGCTCCGCAGTTCTCAGGGAAGGACATGGCGACTGGCACAGCTGGCCCCCAGTGCCCACACCTGCCAGGAAGCCTCTCCTGACATCCAGCCTGGCCCCACCCGCTACGGCCCTCCCACCACTCAAGACACCCAGTGGGGGCTCGTTTGCTCGTTCATTTTGTTTTTTGAGACGGACTCTCATTCTTGTTACCCAGGCTGGAGTGCAGTGGCACAATCTCGGTTCTCTGCCACCTCTGCCTCCTGAGTTCAAGTGATTCTCCTGCCTCAGGCTCTCAAGTAGCTGGGACTACAGGCACGTGCCACCAACCCGGCTAATTTTTCTATTTTTAGGAGAGATGGGATTTTGCCATGTTGTCCAGGCTGATCTCAAACTCCTGACCTCACGCAATCTGCCCGCCTCAGCCTCCCAAAGTGCTGGGACAGCAGGCATGAGCCCTCTCTCCCAGCTTGTTTTTTTTTTGTTTTTTTTTTTTTCTTTTGAGACGGAGTTTCGCTCTTGTTACCCAGGCTGTAGTGCAATGGCGCGATCTCGGCTCACCACAACCTCTGCCTCCTGGGTTCAGGCAATTCTCCTGCCTCAGCCTCTTGAGTAGCTGGGATTACAGGCACAGGCCACCATGCCCAGCTAATTTTTTGTATTTTTTTTTTTTGAGACGGAGTTTCGCTCTTGTTACCCAGGCTGGAGTGCAATGGCGCGATCTCGGCTCACCGCAACCTCTGCCTCCTGGGTTCAGGCAATTCTCCTGCCTCAGCCTCCTGAGTAGCTGGGATTATAGGCACATGCCACCATGCCCAGCTAATGTTTTGTATTTTTAGTAGAGACGGGGTTTCACCATGTTGACCAGGTTGGTCTCGATCTCTCGACCTCGTGATCCACCCGCCTCGGCCTCCCAAAGTGCTGGGATTACAGGCTTGAGCCACCGCACCCGGCCCTAATTTTTTGTATTTTTAGTAGAGACGGGGTTTCACCATGTTGACCAGGATGGTCTCGATCTCTTGACCTCGTGATCCACCCGCCTCGGCCTCCCAAAGTGCTGGGATTACAGGTGTGAGCCACCGCGCCCGGCCTTGTTTTGTTTTTAATACAAATCTGAGTATGCTCCCTTGGGAGCTACGTGGCCAGGCATGAACACAGCAGCCCTGTGCCATCCAAGGAAGCACAGGCCTGGGCCCAGCCCAGGCTACCCCCTTTTGCCCCAGGAACATCTCGCCTGGGAAGAGTTGTTGTTTACCTGGGACGGGGGCCAGGCGGGAGGGTTTATCTCACTCAGGATTTATGGTACAGCTATGGGCCACGTGGTACCAGCTCTGCTCAGGGGGTGCTGGAGACCAGGGTCCACTGCAAGGACAGGCAGCCAGGCCTGTGTTACCAAACCCAGAAAAGGCCCCGGATACTGGGCTCCCGGCAGGCCCCTGGTGGCACTGCGGTGTGTGTGGTCACCAACACCCAGAATGCATGAGGCGAATCTGGGACCCTCCCCTGGGATGGACGGTGGGAAGCAGCGCCTGGGCCTCCCAGCCCACATGCCTTCCCCTCAGCTGAGGTTTTACTTTTTTCAGACAGAATCTTGCTCTGTCACCCAGGTTGGAGAGCAGTGACGCGATCTCAGCTCACTGTGACCTCTGCCTCCCGGGTTCAAGTGATCCTGGTGCCTCAGCCTCCTGAGTAGCTGGGATTACAGGTGCAAATTACCACACCCAGCTGATTTTTGTATTTTTAGTAGAGTCGGGGTTTCACCACATCAGCCAGGCTGGACTCAAACTCCTGACCTCAGGTGATCTGCCCACGCTGGTGTCCCAAAGTGCTGGCATTGACTGGCGTGAGCCCCCACACCCGGCCTGAATACGTGTTTCCACTGACATTTTCTCCCTGCTTTTTTCCCATGTGACTGTTTTTTCTGTTGCAGGCCAAGCAGAGAGACGTGCCAGCTGCGGGGGGCCCAAAGGCCAGCAAGCTGGTACAGCCCCACAGGTTCCCCACAGCCCTCCTGCCAGCCCTCCGCCAATGATAACCCTGTTCTTTCTGTGTGATGAACCACACTGCGAACACAATGGCTTCCCCTAGGCCTTCCAGCAACCCACGCCCGGGGTGGTGGGAGGGACGTACCTCGGGGTGGAACTGCTGCTCTGTGCGGGAGTGGCAATACTGGCAGCTGTCACCGCCGTCGCAGCGCGAGGGCTCCCCCCACTCATCCCCGTGCTTCACGCTGGGGCAGGGCGTGGACCTGGGGAGGAGGATGTGTCAGGGGACACTGAAGTACACAGCCACGGGGGGCCCAGGGGTATCTTGCCTCCCACCAGGAGGGGCCTTGGGCACAGGGCCCTGGAGTGACCGGTGACCCAGCTCTTCACTTATGAACATGCAGGCCGGGCCGGTGCCAGGACAGGGTCAGGAGCCCCAGGGATGCTCTTCACAGAATTTAACTTGAGTCTGGGATAGAGCCACCCTCACAGATGGAGAGCGAGGGGAAGAAACAGCCGAACCTCCCGGGGGCAGTGAGGCTAGGCGCCCAGACAGCGCAGAGCTGTCTGCTGGCCAACTTTCTATAAAATGGAAGAGAGATTTTGATCCCACAATCTGAAAATCCTCACCAATTTCAAATGCCCAATGCTCCCACTGCAATAAGCAGGGACTGCACCGCTGCACTCCAGCCTGGGCGACAGAGGGAGACTGTCTTATAAAAAACGAAACCCTCTCCTCTTGTGCAATTTCTAGCAGCTTTACTGTAACTTACGTGGATTTATGGAAGCACAATGCCTGTCGGAGAAAAGGATTTTCCTTTCCTTTCCATGACGGGCGATGACAAGAACCTGGAGACTAATGTGTGCTTTGTTCTACAGCCATTCAAGTCCCTCAACTCTGAAGCCACTTGGACAGAGAATGAATTTAAAGTGGTAAAACACGGAGGAAAGGAGGCATCCTTCCCACGGGGGGCACAGGGGCTCTCCAGGGCATTCGAGGCAGCACCAGGTCATTAAAAAGAGGAGGGTGGGCTGGGCACGATGGCTCACGCCTGTAATCCCAGCACCTTGGGAAGCCGAGTCAGGTGGATCATGAGGTCAGGAGTTCAAGACCAGACTGGACAACATGGTGAAACCCTGTCTCTACTAAAAAATATAAAAATTAGCTAGGCGTGGTGGCTCGTGCCTGTAATCCCAGCTACTTTGGAGCATGAGGTAGAACTGCTTGAACCAGGACACAGGAGGCAGAGGTTGCAGTGAGCTGAGATCACGCCACTGCACTCCAGCCTGGACTACAGAGTGAGACTCCATCTCGAACAAAAAAAAAGAGGAGGGCAGGCTATCTGCTCAAAGGAAGAGCTGGACACAGGGCTGCAGGGAGGCCAAGACCACGGCCCAGGCATCCAGACACCCTGTGGGGTCTGCCCCCTCTCCTTCCCCCAGGTGCACACTGCAGGCAGGAGGCAGGCGGGGCCAGGCACACCCAGAAGGCGGGGCTGGAGTGAGGAGGGGAGGCTTCGGAGGCAAGCAGGCTGCACGGCCCCAAACCCGGCCCCAAACCCGCGGGCCAGGCCCAGGGGATGGTCAAGGCTTAGGTGGTGGAGGAAGGTCCTGCGTGTACCCTGGGCAGGGCGACCCTTGGGGTGCAGGCCCCGGGATTCAGCCTAAGAACTGGGTGCCCTGGCCGCCAGCTATTACGAAGAGATCAATCCCAGGCGATGAGAACACCAGAGTACCTGACAGCTGGGGTGAGGAGATGGCACGCAGCCCACAGCTTGGAGAGCGAGGCTGCAACCAGAGGCATGAGTGGGGCACACGGGGGTCCCAGCTGGGCTCGGGGTCCCTCCTGCTGCGCTCCAGCCCCCTGCCTGGCAGAGGGGCCCTGGCAGGGGACTGCATGGGTGCCACTGAGCTTGGGTGGGGAGGCCAGTCCCAGGACAGGCTAGGGCCTCCACGGTGCCTCCCACAGCCGGTATGCTGGGAGACGCCTGCCCTCCCGGGAGTGACGGGGCCACAAGGCAGCCCTCCCATGAGAACCCAGGGGGAGAGCAATGCAGGCCACGGGGCGGAAAGGACACCCCCTAGCTGGGATCCTGCAGGCTCACCTGTACTGGAAGGTCCGGGGGTTGCGCCGCCTGTCCCTGCTGTTGTGGTAGTGCGGGCACGCGTAGCCCTGGCGGCACAGGCGTGGTGGCTTCGGGCACTGCTCCGTCTTGTAGCTGCCCAGCACAAAGTTGGCGTCTGAAAAACGGGCCACACAGTGCCTGTGCAGTATCACTTAGGGCAACACTGGGCACAGAAGCCCAAAGGTGGAAGGCCCGGCTGTCCCCAACAGACAGAGCCATAGGAGGACTCAGGGAACACAGACACGCACTGTGGCACACGCGGACTTCAAAAGACTCACGCTCCACGAGGGAAGCTGGGCCCAAAGGCCACGCTGTGTGGTTCTGCCCACATGACAACTGCCCAGAACTGGAGAACCCACAGAGAGGGAGCAGAACAGAGACCACCAGGGGTCGGGGGGAGTCCTACTGGGGGTGGGCGCTTCCTTTTTGGAAGATAAAAATGTTTTCCAACTAGGTAAGAGACGTTGGTTGCACAGCTTTTTGAATATGCTAAAACCACAGAAAATGCCACACGTGAAGCCTCATGTACGCCAGAGCCTCCAGGTGACAAGCACCTCACGGCGGGTTCCCTGTTTGTAACAAGAGTACCTCACAGTGCAGGAGGGTCACCGCAGGGGAGACTGAAGGGCAGGGGTGTTTGGGAAATCTCTATTTTCTCCCCTCAGTTTTGCTGTGAACCAAAAATTGCTCCAAAAAATAGTCTTTTTTTTCTTGAGACAGATTCTGGCTTTGTCGCCCAGGCTGGAGTGCAATGGCGCGATCTCAGCTCACTGCAACCTCTGCCTCCCAGGTTCAAGCAATTCTCCTGCCTCAGCCTCCCAAGTAGCTGGGATTACAGGTTTCGTGCACCACCATGCCCAGCTAACTTCTTCTATCTTTAGTAGAGATGGGGTTTCAGCATGTTGGCCGGGCTGGTCTCCAACTCTTGACCTCAAGTGATCCACCTGCCTCAGCCTCCCAAAATGCTGGGATGACAGGTGTCGTGCGGCCACCACATGCAGCCCAGTAAAGTCTCTCTTTAAAAGTCATTCGCTGTATTTCACATAAATTTTATCTCAAGTTGAAAAACAAGCCACGGGTCGTTTAAAAACAGTAAATAATGGGCAAAGATTCCTAAAAATCATATCCTTTCTTGAGCTAATAGTTCACACCTTATTGATACATGCTGTTCTTTACTGCACCTGCTCAGTGTGGCTGGGCAGCCAGCAAGGGACACAGCCAAGAGCATCAGCCCCTAAGTGCCAGTAGAATGCCAGACATACTTCCAAGATCAAACCTGACATCCTGATACCATCGTGCACACCAGATTCAATTCGAATAGCTTTTCTTTTCCTTTTTTTTTTGAAACACACTCTCACTCTGTCACCCAGGCTAGAGTGTAGTGGCACGATCTCAGCTCCCTGAAACTTCTGCCTTCTGGGTTCAAGCAATTCTCCTGTGTCAGCCTCCAGAATAGCTGGGATTACAGGCGTGTGCTACCACACCCAGCTACTTTCCTAAGTTTAGTAGAGATGGGGTTTCATCATGCTGCCCAAACTGTTCTCAAACTCCTAAGCTCAGGTGATCCACCACCATAGCGCCTGAAGTGCTGGCATTACAGTAGTGAGCCACCATGTCTGGCGCCCAAACTGCTTCTTATTTTCTAAACGGAGTTGTGCTCTTATCATCCCAGGCTGGAGTGCAATGGCACAATCTCAGCTCACTGCAACCTCCGCCTCCCGGGTTCAAATCATTCCCTTGCTTCAGCCTCCTGAGCAGCTGGGATTACAGGCGCCTGCAACCATGCCCAGCTAATTTTTAAATTTTTAGAAGAGATGGGATTTCACCATGTTGACCAGACTGGTCTGAAATTCCAGACCTCAGGTGATCCACCTGCCTCAGCCTCCCAAAGTGTTGGGATTACAGGAGTGAGCCACCACACCCAGTCAGTATTATTATTATACTATTATATTATTCAGCCCTAAAAGAAGTGAGAGCCGGCACAGTGGCTCACGCCTGTAAGGCCAGCACTTTGGGAGGCCAAGGTACAAGAATCGCTTGAGCCCACGAGTTCAAGACCAGCCTGGGCAACACAGTGAGACCCCCATCTGTACTAAAAATATTAAAAGTTAGCTGGGCATTGGTGGTGTGTGCCTGTAGTCACAGCTACATGGGTGGTTGACGTGGGAGGATCGCTTGAGCCTGGAAGGTCAACACTGCAGCAATTTGTGATTGCACCACTGCATTCCAGTCTGAGCAAGAGAACAAGGTCCTGTCTCAAAAACAAAAAGAAGGAGGGGCGAAAGGGTGGCTCCCACCTGTCATCCCAGCACTTTGAGAGGCTGAGGCAGGTGGAACACCTGAGGTCAGGAGTTTTGAGACCAGCCTGACTAATATGGTGAAACCCCATTTCTACTAAAAATACAAAAATGAGCCTGGCATGGGGGTGCCCACCTGAAATCCCAGCTACTTGGGAGGCTGAGGCAGGAGTGGAGGTTGCAGTGAGCCTAGACCGCATCCCTGCCCTGAAGCCTGGGTGACAGAGTAAGACTACGTCTCTAAGAAAAAAAAAAAAAAAAAAAGATGCATTTTTTTGGTTATGTGTATTTTGTCACTTTTTTTTTTCTTTTGAGATGGAGTCTCAGTCTGTCACCCAGGCTGGAGTGCAGTAGCAAGATCTCAGCTCACTGCAACCTTCACTTCCCGGGTTCAAGTGATTCTCCTGCCTCAGCCTCCAGAGTAGCTGGGATTACAGGCATGCGCCAAGACAGCTGGCTCATTTTTGTATTTTTAGTAGAGATGGTCTTCACCATGTTGGCCAGGGTGGCCTCGAACTCCTGACCTCAGCATATCCACCCACCTCAGCCTCCCAAAGTGCTGGGATTACAGGCGTGAGCCACTGCGCCCTGCCTTAGTACATTTTTTTGGAATCAACTCACCCCTGTTATCACCTCATCTGTGTGCTGGCCAGGAATGCAGGTCCCCAGCCCCGAGGAAATGCCCCCAGGGCTGTGCATTCTGACCACGCCCAAGGATCTCAAAGCTGCTTTCTGGAGCACGCCCCAGAGGCACAGGGCTGGGGATTCTGCTGTACACCACGGGTGGGTGCATGGTGGTGCCCTGGCTCCAGGACAGGACACCCCGCAGGTTGCCGCAGGAGTTGCAGACTCCCTCAGCTGAGCACTTGGTCAATGGCTGACCCCACTGAGACACCAGCAGGTGAAGAGGTACAGAGCAGACGCGGGGGAGGCACCTGGCCCAAATCCCACTCAGCACCCACCCCCTGTGGGAGAGGGGTTGCTAATCAACTCCATGAGCCTCGGTTTCCCCATCTGATCACCTTGCACATAAACTAAGACAGGCTGTCCCCAGGCTGTCCCCACACTGTCCCCACCACGCTCAGCTGCGGCCGTGGAGTTACCTTGCCATCGGGGGTCTTCACTCAGGATCTTCTCAATCATGGCCTGGCTGGCCAAAACCCCAGGCTGCAGATCCGGGACACCGTCCCCGCTGCCCAGCTGGCCGTTCTGCAAGGCTTCCTGGGCCTGCAGCTCCCTGCGAGCCGAGGACACAGTGGTCACGGCTCTGCCTGCAGAGCCTCCGAAGCTGAAAGGAGGTCACTGGAGTACACGCTCCCCTCCCACCACTACACAGACACGCTGCCACCCGAAGGGCTCAGGTGTGTGGGGCACTCCTCTGCCCTGGCACACAGTCCTGATCCAAATCCCAACCACTTAATTTTGTATTTTCTTTAAGACAGGGTCTGGCTCTGTCCCCCAGGCTAGAGTGCAGTGGCGCAATCACAGCTGATTGCAGCCTCCACTTCCTGGGCTCAAGCAATCCTCCCACTTTGGCCTCCCAGAGCACTGGGATTACAGGTGTGAGCCACTACGCTCGGCCACAACCACGTAAGAGCAGAACTTTCTTGAGGCAGAATTTGCCTTCCTGCAGCCCTGGACTGTGCGCTGAGTTCATTCTCCTGCAAAGCAGTGCCTCATGGCCTCAAACCCTCCAGACTCGGGGAAAGAAACACCCAGTGAGAAGAGGTGAGAGATCATCTCATCAGAAACAACATCCAGGCCTGCTACTCACCTGACGTCACACACGGGGGGCCGCAGGTCCAGGGGGCCGTGTGCAAAGGCACAGTGCAGCCCGTTCTTCACGCAGTGGCCCCTCGCGTCCGTCTCGTGGATGCAGGTTCCTGTCTTATAGTAGCGCAGGTGGTACTTGCGCTCCGTGTCCCCCGTCGTCCGGTGCAGGTAGGGACACCTGGGAAGCAGAGGGGCACACGATGCCTGGTTCTCACGGACCCAGAGGCAGCCCTAAGCTCGCACAATGCCTGGTTCTCACGCACCAGAGGCAGCCCTAAGCTCCCTGGGTCCACACCCCAACAGCGCCTGGCAAGCAGTGAATTCCTTTCCCTTCTCCGAGCTTCCTGTTCTGATCGGAAGGACTGACATCATCAAACGCAGCGTGTGCTCCAGAATGTGGAACCACTCAGGTACACAGACCACCACAAACCCCCAACCAAACACAGCTGGAAAACACAACGCCGAATTTCCACAAAGCTCATCCTTCCTAACAAACGCCAAAACCAGTATGGGAAGTAAAATCCGTGCCCTGCACATAGGCTGCACCTCCTTCCTCACCAGTCACTGTCAGAAAGTGGGGGCCCTCCCGTCCAGTGTGCTGCTGCTCTCAGGGACCCTAGGAGGGAGGCAGGGGAGGGGAGAAGCACAGCGTCCTGGACGCTGCTTGGAGGGGATGGGCAGGAGAGGAAGCCAACAGCATGGTGGGGAGCATAGGTGAGGTAGCATCATCATCACATAGGATACCTGCAGGCTGGGAGCAATGCTCCTAGGGAGTCACAGGCAGTCCTGGAGCAGGATGGGATACAGGGGAAAGGGGAGCAGCCGCCAAGGCTTGGGCAGCATCAACAGAGACAGGGAGACAACGCGAACCTCCAGAGGGAGGTGAGGGAATGCCCAGAGGACACCGAGTCGTCAATGGTGCCGAGCCCTGGCTGGTGATGGAATCACTGAGTGGCCTGACGGCCAAGGCAGAGGATGACGGGGCCCTCACTGCAGGTCCCCACATGTAAGGACTCAAACCTTCATCTCCAGCTCCAGCCAGGGAGCTTCGTGAGAGTCCCACCCGCCTTGCTGTGGATGGGACTGGAGCTCCCGCCAGGGATGGCTGGGAACCAAGAGCGACCCAGCAACCACCAGGTCTAGCCCCATTCTCTAAGGTAAAGGAACACAGACGCAGAGTTCAGAGAGCCCCACCCAGGCTTCACTGGGCACTTGTGGTGTGCCAGACACTGAAAGCTGAGGGTGCACAGAGGCTGAAGAAGGGGTGCCCAGGCCAACTCAGGGTCCCGGGAGCCAGCCAAGCAAAAGTCAAATGAGAACGCCACCCTGGGACCCAGCGATCCCGCCCAAGTTCACATCCCAGAAACCCAAAGGCACGGTTCTAAGCAGACACCTGCACACACACGTTCACAGTGCATCATGCACAGGAGCAGAGAGGTGGAAACCACCCAAATAGGCACCGACAGAGGAGTCCATGAGCATAATGTGGTCTTCCACCCACACTACGGGACAGCGTTCAGCCACGGAAGGAGGGTCGGGCACACTGGCTCACATCTGTCATCCCAGCACTTTGGGAGGCAGAGATGAGAGGACTGTGTGAAGCCAGGGGTTCAAGACCAGCCTGGGCAACATGTGAGTCCCCATCAAAACTTCAAAATTAGCTGGGCATCGTGCACACCTGTGGCCCCAGCTACTTGGGAGGCTGAGATGGGAGGATCACTTGAGCCCAAAAGGCCAAGGCTACAGTGAGCTGTGACTGGGCCACTGCACTCCAGCCTGGACAACAGAGCAAAACCATGTCTCAAAAAAAAAAAACAATGGAGGAGGAGGAAGGGAAGGAAGGGAAGGGAAGGGGAAGGGTGGAGAGAGGGAGGGAAGAAGGGACGGAGGGAAGGATAAAAAAAGAGAAACAGAAAGAGAAAGGAAGGAAGGAAGGAAGCAGAAGCAAGCTGGAGCGTGGTGGCTCACGCCCGTAATCCCAGCACTTTGGGAGGCTGAAGCAGATGGATCACCGGAGGTCAGAAGATCAAAACCAGCCTGGCCACCACGGTGAAACTTCCTCATCTATACTAAAAATACACTAGCCAGGTGTAGTGGTGCATGCCTGTAATCCCAGCTACTTGGGAGGCTGAGGCAGGAGAATTGCTTGAACCTGGGAGGTGGAGGCTGCAGTGAGACGAGATCGTGCCACTGCATTCCAGCCTGGGTGACAGAGGGACACTCCATCTTAAAAGAAAAAAAAGGAAATAAAGAAAAAGATTAGACTTGGTATCTGCCAATACAAGTAGCAACAGTAACTCTCAGACGTGGATATTTGGAAGTCTCTCTTCCCATCAGTTCCTCACGGAATGCATAGTAGAGACCCAGTAAGCCACACCCTGGATCCACTCAAATCCAAGTTGCACACTGCCTGAGAACAGGGGCCAGAGGAGGCCCCACAGGGCAAATGGGAAATGCCAGGCCTGCCAGGTGATACTGCCAAACAGAGCTCTGAAAAGAAGACAGAGACCGGGAGTAGCAGCTCACACCTGTAATCCCAGCACTTTGGGAGAGGAGGTGGGCAGATTACTTGAGCCCAGGAGTTCAAAACAAGCAAGACCCCGTTCCCACAAAACCTCAGCTGGACTTGGTGGTGTGCACCTCTGTTCCCAGGTACTCTGGAAGCTAAGGTACAAGGATCACTTGAGCTCAGGAGGTTGAGGCTGCAGTGAACAAATTTGTGTGTCAACCTGGAAAAGCTGCACCACAAGAATAAGGTGAGCCTATTTTTTCCTGAGAACAAAAGACCCAGGGTAGCTGCAGGGCCACAGTGCAAAGGGCTGGTAAGGATGGCCTCTGTTCTGTCGCTGCACTGAAAATGGGCCTAGAGGCTGGGCATGGCGGCTCATGCTTGTAATCCCCAGACTCTGGGAGGCCAAGGCAGGTGGATCGCTTGAGTCCAGAAGTTCGAGTCCAGCCTGTGCAACACAGCTGGGCTCGAACCCATCTCTACTAAAAATACACACACACACACACACACACACAAATCAGCTGAGCATGGTGGTGCACCTGTGGTCCCTGATACTCTGGAGGCTGAGGTGAGAGGATCAGGTGAGCCCGAGGTTGCAGTGAGCCGAGATCACACCACTGCACTCCAGGCTGGGAAACAGAGCCAGATCCTGGCTCAAAAGAAAAAAGAAAATAGACCATAGACCCTGGAGAGGCCCGGGATCCCATGATGCGCCTTTTCCGCCTTTTCCGTTTTTTTTTTTTTGGCCTTTCCTGTTTCTTTACCAGAATCTGTCTGAAAAGAAAAGCGCCTGGTCCCTCAGCAATAGCCCCGCGGCCTCAAAGCCACGCCCCAACAGGAGCCGCCCCGCCCCCAAGTCCACACCGGTTCCCACGGGGGCGGGGCTTCGCACATGACCTGGGGCGGCCAATCGCGGGTGTGCAGGGGAGGGGCGTGTCCCGCAGAACAAAGGGCCTTTCCCGAGCGGGGCGGGGCGGGGCCGGGATCCCCACGAAGCCCGCAGGACGGACAAGGCGTGGGGTACAGCGAGGGGCGGCCACCCATTTAGGAAAGGAGGCACTGTGGGGGCGCCCACGGGGGCAGGCACCGGAGGGGGTGCCCACAGGGGATAGGGGAGTAACCCAAGAAGTGACCTGGGAGACCACAGGAGGCGGCAGAGAGATGACAGCAGGGGCTGGGGGACGGCACCCACCACTGGGTGAGGGGGTAAAAGCAGAGGTACCCCAGGAGCTGGTGACGCTGGGGCTGTCCCCAGGAGGGGCTGACACTGAGATAGCAACTGAGCAGGCAGGGGTGGAGTGAGGCGTTAGCCTGCCCAGGAAAGGAGGCACCAGCAGCGGAGGTGGGGGGGCCCTCCTGCGGTCCCAGTCCTGCTCTGCCCCACAGCTCAGCCCCAGCGCCTCCAGCCAGAACCAAGAGTGACGCCTGACACTGGCTAAGGGTGTCTGCCCTCTGATACAGATTCATGTGTAAAGTTGGTAGTATCAACGCCCAAAACAGAAATTTCAAAAACCAATGAACTAAAGAAAGGGAAGACCCTGCCCTTGATCTGAACGTTCATCTATTTACAAAATCCAAGGCAACCCTTAGTGAGAAGCAGAACGGGTAATTCAACAGGACGAATTGGCTATGCCTTTTGTGCAGTGATGAGAAAGTCCCACTGCAGTAGAATGAAGGGTAATTATGGAGGAGAAATTCCCAGAGGAAACAGCCTGTCAGATACTTCCTAAAAGGCCAGCTGAAGCAAACATGCTACAAACAAAATCTTAAGATGATTTCCTTGTTGTGTGTGGATTTACCCAGGATGCATCCAAAACAAAACACCCAACAGGCATCTGAGCCCCACTTACCACCCTCAATCATAAACTGCAAGCCATTTAGACAGCAGGCTAATATTTCTGTAATGCATAATCACTTGTTACGCAACTGCTACGTGAACACAGCTTGAAATGACCACCCGGGGACAGGCGCTCATGGCAGCACTCTCTGTCCCTGTGAGAACTGGACACCACCCTGTGCCTAGCACTGGGGCTGAGTCCACAGCAGGACACCCAGACTCCAGAACCTAAACAGTTATGAAGCTGGGCGCGGTGGCTCACGCATGTAATCCCAGCACTTTGGGAAGCTGAGGAGAGCAGATCACCTCAAATCAGGAGTTCAAGACCAGCCTGGTCAACATGTCGAAACCCATCTCTACTAAAAATACAAAAATTAGCCAGGCATGATGGCACACGCCTGTAATCCCAGCTACTCAGGAGGCTGAGGCAGGAGAATCGCTTGAACCCAGGAGGCAGAGGTTACAGTGAGCCAAGATCATGCCACTGCACTCAAGCCTGGGAGACAGAGACTCCATCTACAAAAAAACCCAAAAAACAGTTATGAAAAGATGCCTTCTTGCCAGGTGCAGGAACGCACACCTGTAACCCCAGCACTTTGGGCAGCTGAAGTGGGAGAACTGCTTAAGCTTGGGAGGTCGAGGCTGCACTGAGCTGTGACGGCACCACTGCACTCCAGCCTGGGCAACAGAGCAAGACCCTAGCTCCAAAAAAAAAAAAAAAGAGGGCTGGGCGAGGTGGCTCATGCCTGTAATCCCAGCACTTTGGGAGGCCAAGGCAGGTGGATCATGAGGTCAGGAGTTTGAGACCAGCCTGGCCAACATGGTGAAACTT